TCAGCGACATTGCATCACGATACAAGCCTCCCCTACACTCTCGACTCCCCACAATCCTTCAAGAGATAGATCCAAGGCCGGACAGGACCGGATAGATCGCAGCATCGGATACAAGACGACACCACACCGGCAAAGAGAAACGAGAACTCTGTTGCGCCCACTCCAAGTCTCTCCAACACCCACGCACTACCTACTCGGTACAGCGCCTCGCCCCAGACTGTCCACAGTCCGCCCACCCATCGCCCGGGATTCCTGCATATGTAAACGACCTAGCGGCACGAGAACAGACCCAAGTCTCACCCTTCCCTCCACCTGTACCGTCCACACACACACACACCACACACACACTCGCTCGCTCGCACTCACACACACCATACCTTTCCCACACACCGTAAGGTATTACCCAACGTAACGGCCTGGCCTGAAAGAGACAGAGCACAGAGCACAGAGCACAGAGCACACAGCACACACAGAGAGGGGAGAGAGTGAGTGAGAGGGAAAGGGGACCACTCTTCACACTTCACCATCTTTTACGCTAGTCAAGTCAATCCCGTTCCATCCCAGGAGGCGACTAGCAGCTTGTGACTTTTACATCTCGACTTTTCACTCTCACAAGCCGCTCTCCATTCTCCGCTTTCTCTCACACACTCTCAACTCGACTCAAATCAACTCACTCACCGACACACACTCACCTCACATCTTACCCGACTCTCTCAACGCTGCTGTATCGCGCGTGCGCCGCATAGCCGACATCCCGTTCGACGACCCCGATCGTCGTCAATCTCACCACCATCACCGCCGACAGCGCAGTACTCCGTCCCGAGATAGCAAACTCGATAACCGGCGACTCCTCTCCCTTCTCGGCGATAGGCTGCCTCTTCCCAGCAGCCCCTATTTCGGTTCTGTAAAGTTGAGAGACGCATAGAGAGAGAGAAGAGCCCCTGTAGCCGCGCTCTCACTCACTTTCCCCGCCTACGCGCCTCTTTTCACTCTCATCGTGAGAGGCCGAATAATCTCATCCAACGACGCTCATCAGCGCATTCTCTCACGACACACATCGATAGCAACATCGCCATCAGCCTCAACGTCAAACCTCCACCAAAGGTTTATTGCCCACGAGAACCTCCCAGTCGCAACCCAATTCACCACAAACAGGTGTCCCGAGCAATCACTGAACCGGCCCGCGCATCGCAAAACCCCCATCCGTCTCTACTCGCCAGAGACGGATCTTTCGAGTAGCCCTGGAGGCATACGACGCCTCTGCAGGCGTCCTCGTGCCAGGCTTTGGCCTCGGTTCGGCGGTGCTGAATCCCTTTGAGCATCCGCCCCTCGACTTCGTCCACGATCCTTACCACTTGGGAGGCGACAACGACGACGACGACGACGAGGACCAGGTCTCCTCCCTCTCTTTCGGCTTCTCCTCCGACTTTACGCCAGACTTTACCCTCGGCCCTGACGCCGACGCCGCCTCCAACTCGGAATCGGCATCTTCGTATCTCGGGAATCATCACCAACATCACCACCAGTCAAACTATCTTAACCAGCAGCATCACCACCACCAGCAAAACTATCACCACCACAACGCAACCATGAATTTGCCCAGCTCCCACATCCCGCCTCGCCGCAGCGCGAGCATTCACTCCCTCACCCCGTCGCGCGACCTCCTCGTCAAGCCCAAATCCCCAGAGAAATCCGCCGCAGCCGCCGCCGCCGCCGCGACCGCCACCAAATCAAAACGAGTACGGACGGGCTGTCTAACGTGTAGGGAACGGCATCTAAAATGTGACGAAGGGTTACCAGACTGTCTAAATTGTCGAAAAAGTAGTCGAGAATGCAAACGCGGCGTGAGGCTTAATTTTATAGACGTGCAGGTCAAGCAACCGCCGTACATGCCACCCACTGTTGAGTGGTCAGGTGAGTTGCGAATGCCCTCATTTTCATTGACTGCTCACTTCTTCCTCCTCTGCACTGCTTATAATGTCTTGAGGAAAGAGCAGGAAGATTGTCAGGCTAAAGCATTGAGACACTGGATGCTAACGAATCTACAGTCCAATTCCAAGATGAATCGAGGCTCATCGCCTCAGAGTACGTCGGAGGCCTCGGCCGGTACGCTCATCTTGATAAGAAGGCCGCCGTCGCACCTCCGCCACGGCATCTAGGTCATTTAGAGCCGACCCTCCGGCATCAATCCCACCTCCTCCCACACGCAAGAGCAAGCGGCCCAGACGCCTCCGTCTCACCGAGGACTCACCTCCTTCACCACCCACCACCCCCACCGCCACCGCCCCCAACATACAGCCGTCACCCGTACTACCGCGAACCTCCTCCCCGAGGACCCATCGAGTCATCAGCGTACCCGCGCCGCGAGAGCGAATCCGCCTACCTCACACCCCAGAACTCGGCTCACCCGGCACCTCACCACCCCTACAGCCTCCACGAGCACTTCGCCTCCTACCGCGACGCCCACGGCCACCACCGCGACAGCGACGCCTCGAGCGCGGCCTCCATCGTCCCGCAACCCACCGCCCCGCCGCCCAGTTACCGCAGCAGCGCCGCTGCCGCGAACCCCCTCGCCCCAGACGGCATGATGACCCCCCCGCCGAGCGAAAAGGCAACCGCCGGCGAGAGGGAGTACCTCAACTCCCCCGAGGAGATCCTCTACATGCAAGTCTTTGTCGAAGAGGTCGGCGTCTGGATGGACTCGCTCGACAAGGAGAAGCACTTTTCCCGTCTGATCCCCTACCACGCTCTCAAGTCGCCCATGCTCCTCAACGCCTTCCTCGCCTGCGGCGTCAAGCACCTCACCCTCGTCAACCCGGCCTACGAGGACGACAAGGCGCTCTTCTACTACGACACCGCCACCACCCAGCTCCTCCGCAGCCTGCAGAACCCGGACCGCAACACGGGCGAGTGCGCCACCACGGCCGTCGTCCTCAACGTCTACGAAATCATGTCCGAGAAGCCCGCCCAGCGCATGAACCACATCGCCGGCGCCCGCGCCTTGATCCGCGAGTGTAAATGGGACGCCCGGTCCTCCGGCATCGGCGCCGCGTGCTTCTGGCTCAACATCGGCATGGAGGTCCTCTCGTGCCTGGCCTTCAACTGGCAGACGTCGTGGGATCCGGACCAGTGGGGGCTGGATATGAGCTTCACGAGCGAGGCTAGTGCCGCAGCGGCGATAGCAGCATCGAGATCCGGGGATGGGTTTGGGCAGGAGGAGGTCTGGGTCCATCGGATCCTGTACATTGTGGCCAAGATTGCAAACTTCCGCGCCACGATCCCGCGGTTCCAGGAACCGAGCCCGCACGACGAGCAGATTCGCCTGGGGAACCGGCTGCAGCAGTGGCAGGATCTCAAGAAGCTGTGCGACAAGTGGAACAATACCTGCCCGAGGACGATGCACCCGTTCGGATACCTCTACCCCTCGCAGACAAACTCCAAATCCGCCTTCCCCAACGTCTGGTAAGTCTCTCTTTCCCCTGCTTTTTAGCTCCTCAAGCCATGTTCTCGTATCTAACAACCCAAACAGGCTCATCAAACGCGCCGCCATCATCGGTCGCCTCTTCTACCACACAGCGCAATGCCTTCTCGCCCAAACGAACCCAATGGAACCAGGCCGCGCCTCAGAAGAAATGCGCGCCCTCCAGCTCCACCACGCCCACCAGGTCTGCGGCATCGTAGCCCACACAAAAGACCGCGGCGTCGCCTCCGTCGCGATCCGCTCCCTCGCCATCGCCTCCGCCGTCCTCACCGACCCGCGCGAGCAGGAAGAGGTCCTCGAGATCCTCGACAAGATCCACGCCGCGAGCGGCTGGCGCCTGGGAAGCATCCACGGCGAGCTCAAGAAGGCGTGGGGCTGGCCTTCGCCCGCGCCGTCGCACGCTTCTCTCGGCCCGGCGGAGCATAGAGGGTCTGTTGGGAGTTATGGCGGTGGTGGGAGACCCGGTCCGCCGGGTAACCCGCCGGCTATGGCGACATCGAGCGCGCCGTCGGCTTCGAGCGCTGCTGCTTCGGCGCCGATGAAGGCGCTTGTTAACCCGCTCTCGTACGCGGACTTTAGTTTGCCGAATGCTCCCTACAAGGACTGGTGGAAGCCGCCTAACCGGAACGACTCGTACGGTTACCAGGGTTTCCCATGATGACCTTTCTTTCGCTTCTTTCAACCCGTTTCCAAGTTTGCCTGTCTTTTTCTTTATTCTATCACTTCCTTACAACCCCGACCCTTTCCAAGAAACCGTGAAAGGATGCCGGATTTATATATATAATAATCTTCAAGAAAACTGGAGGCGAATATTTGCTCTTCAGACATTCAACATCGTGGATTGTCGAAAACAAAAAGAGGGCTGGCACTGGTTTGCCAAGCCTACCTACCTACCTTACGATTACGACTCCCTTTATCCTCTTTCTTCTCTTTCTGGTATTTTCTTCCCTTCTACTGCATCATCTTTCTATACAAAGGCTATAACCGGGAGAGGAGGAAACCACGGCTTTACAGGACGGCCGGCAAAGCATTGCGTCGGAGAAAGGGGTCCATTGGACCGCAGACCCGTTGGAAAGGAATTGCAAATGGACAAGGGGACATGTGGCGTTCCGGCACTTCACAGAGACAAAGGGGGGAAATATGGTTTTGCTGAGATTCGCTCCAGCATTTTGAGAGGCTCCAATGGTTGGGAGACCCCAGATTGCTCTGCAAAGGGCACCGATACCATGAGATATTTACTATTATTCTATCTTGGGCACTTTTTTTGCTCCTTTGTTCACTCTTCTTTCGGTTCGTCACACAAAGTACTTTAGGGGCACGGAACCGTCTTTGATCGTTGTCTGCATTAACCGGTATCTGTTTTGTTCGGATGGGAAAGGGGGGATGTTCGGGTTCTGTCTAAACGCGGGAGGGAATCTATCGCAATGCCGATGCTCAAAAAGCAAATGTCAAGCGCTCTGTGTCTTGACACCAAGAACTTTCTATGAAAAAAAGTCATTATTTCTTCCCATTCTTTCCAGACTCATCTTCTAATGACGTGCCCAAAATCCGTTGACCCATTCGTTCAATCGTCGTGAAATCCATGTGTCCCATCTATCGCCGTTTCTTCGTGAAAATTGCTCAACAAAAAGAAAAGAAGTCAAGAAAACTCAAAGTCTGCGGTGTTAAGCTAGGAATTATGCCAAACCACGATCCAAAAGTCTCTTGGTTGCTGAAAGTAGTGCACTAAGCGGAGCCGTTGGTGTTGGTGACGACGCTGCCACTGACGTTCTCCTTCATGAAGGCCTCGTTGTCGACCTCGACGGGAGGGATGGTCATGCCGAACTTCTCGTAGGGGAAGTTCTCGAGGGTGGGCAGGTACTCAGCCCAGCCATCGTCAATCTCGCCGACCTGGTGCATGTCGACCTGGCCAGCCTCGCCGGTGCGGCCAGCGAGGACCTCCTTCTCGCGGCCGGCGTACTCCTTGAGAAGCATCTTGTGGGGGCACCAGATGACGCGCATGCCGGCGCGGCGGCCAGCCTCGACACCGGGAACGGAGTCCTCGAAGACGAGGCACTCCTCGGGGGTAATGGGCTTCTCGCCCTTGGGAAGAGACTCGTTGATGGTCTTGAGGGCCAGAAGGAAGATGTCGGGGTTGGGCTTGCCGCGGCCAGCACCAATGCGGGTGTCATCGCCCAAGACACGCCGCTGGGAGGGGAAGACGGAGAAGAGCTCAGTCAGGTGGTCAGACTTGAGCTTGAAGTTGGCCTCGTGGGAAGAGGTGGCCAGGGCAATATGGACGCGCTGGGCGGTCTTGCCGTCAGCAGCCTCGGGCTTGTGGTCGAAGTAGCGGGTGCGACCAAGGTTCTGGAGGAGCTGGGGGATGCCGGGGAGAGGCTTGGTCGAGGGGAAGATCTGGCGCTGGAGAGCAGAAAGCTTCTGGTGGTACTCGTCGTGGGCAATGGGGAGCTGAGCCCACTCGTGGAAGATGCGAGTGGCATCGGGACCGGGGCGGCCCTGAAGCTTGGCCTTGATGTTCCAGGGAAGGAGAGGGCGGCCGTACTGCTCGAGAATGATGTTGATGCAGGCGGTGTAGAGGTCTTCGGTGTCGAGGAGGAGGCCGTCCATGTCGAACAGGCAAGCCCGGACGGGAGGGAACCTGCAGCAAGGTCAGTCAATTAGCTTACCGGCGGTGGTGAGAGAGACGAGAAAGAACTTACTCGGTGCGAGGAGCCATTGTGATGGTGAGGGAGATGTATAGGTAGTGTGACGGTTGTGATGTGTAGAGGCAAGAGAGGAGGAAGAGGTAGCGATTTTATGTCTTCGAGGTGAGTATCGAAGGAGGAGTGGTGGAGGGTGGAAGTGGAAGAGCTCTGAAGAAAATAAATCCTCGGTCGGGGTATCACGAAGAAAGTTTGTGGGAAGGGAGGTAATGGTAAAGAAGTTTTTAGCACAAGGGAAAGGGCCTTTTGTCCTTTCTCGGAAAGACCTGAGTCAACAAAGTGAATTGAGGGACGGAAGGAACAATGGGCAGGAAGCCAACGTCAAATGGCAGGGGCTCTCAGGAACAACGGCGGGGTGAAAACGGAAGCGGAAGGCACCGATGGAGGGGTCGCTCAGCTCTTTCCCGAGTAAAATGGCGACCAGATGGGGAAGTGGGGTCACCAAGTATCCTTGTACACCGTGCCTTCCTTTCCAATATCTTTGATCAAACTGTACTCGGTACCTAGAAGTCAGGCAGAAAATCATGGAAGCCGCCGTAGCGGATACGAAGGGAAGTCAGCTTTGTACAAGATAGTCTATGAATAAAATATCAAAATGAGGTAGTTGTCCCTCTTCGGGTCTTCTTTCTTCTATTTATCGATTGATACATTGGAACAAAACTACCTTATTCCATGGGCCACAGTACAAGCGACGGCGGCGCATACGGTGCCAACTCCCTCATGGTGAATCGATTGGATCCCAGTGAGGCCAGCCGCTGGAAGACCCCTAAAGCGCTGTATCCGTAGCGAAGTGGGCTAAGAGGTGTGGCTTCCTTCCACCGCCCAAAAACATGTGAACAGCCTCAACGTCCCACTCCACCAATCCACGTGGGGACGAGACAGTGACGACATTCTTGGGCGCCTTGCTTGCACGCCTTAACCCAACTTGAGATTTGCGTCCAACGACTACTCACGAGTCTATCCACCTACTACTGCCTTCATCATGGCCTCGAAGGAGAAAGAAAAGGACCCTCAGGGTAAGGGCAAGGACAAGTCGGTCAAGGATGAGCCAGAGGAGGTTCAGGAGAAGTTCTCTCCTGAAGAGGAGGCGGTAAGCTGCAAAATGTTCCTTTGGTCTCACTCGTTTAATTATGACTTGTCAAAGTGACTGCTCGTTTCAGTATTCGATCGAAAACATCATGAGCCGATATTGGCAAGTGCCGGGGTTCTCAGACTCATAGCCTCACAACTATGAGTCAAGTATTATTTTCAATCATCCTGAATAGCCCTTCGAAACTCATACAAGAACGAGCATCTAACACATCCACAGTCCCTCCTGGCCGAGGCCAACACCCACAAAACCGAAGCAAACGCCCTCTTCACCTCCTCAAAATACGATGAAGCCATCGCCAAGTACGACGAAGCCGTCTCCGTCTGCCCAAACTACCTAGACTACGACCTCGCCGTCCTACGCTCAAACATCTCAGCCTGTCACCTGAAGCTAGAGCAATGGAAAGACGCAATCTCATCCGCTTCGTCCGCTCTCGACGGCCTAGACCGCATCGAAAATGAAGCCGCGCTAGAGCAGGAACGCCGCGAGAAGGCAAAGGCAGAGGAGGAGGAGGGCGTGGAAGAGGAGATTGTCAGCACTGGTGCTAGCACCTCCGCACCCGCGCCGGTAACGAACACGGAGGACGCAGAGGAGGTCGCGCGGCGGAAGAGGAAGGACGATGTCCTGCGTATCAGAGCCAAGGCATTGATGCGGAGGGCGAGGGCTAGGAGCGAAGAAGGCGGATGGCAGAATCTTGCGGGCGCCGAGGAGGATTACAAGACGCTCTCCAAGATGAGCAACCTCGCGCCGGCGGATCGCAAGATTGTGCAGGCGCAGTTGCGCGTATTGCCGCCTAGGACTAAGGCTGCGCAGGAGGCGGAGACGGCGGAGATGTGGGGAAAGCTCAAGGATGTGAGTTCTGAACATAACTGAAACGATGGGTTGAGTGTTTTCGATGACTGACTTCTGACTTTAGTTGGGCAATGGCATATTGAAGCCGTTTGGGCTGAGTACGAATAACTTCCAGATGGTCAAGGATGAGAAGACTGGCGGCTATTCGATGAACTTCAATCAGGGTCAATGAGCCTGGAATGATACATCACCACCTCTCTTCTGTGACAATAGTCGAGTTGACCTGGGCCACCTACCATCGGGCGAGTTTGCTTAGGTACAGATGACATCCTGTGATACACAGCATAGGTAATCAGCGATGTTACCATGTTCATCAGCATCATGTCGCATATTCAGCTTTCTCGGGCTAAGATAGTAATACATCTAATGCCTTGCAGAGTACATCTCTCGACAGGACCAGAAAGAAATAGGTGAAAGACATTTTAGGCCTTCACTGTGCTCGCCACGTTATAGACCGGATACTCCAAGACAGCGCAAGCTGTTAGACGAGAAGAATCCCACCAGTCGCAGAAATGCCAACCCTTCCCAATTCCGGCAGAGAAGATCAGGATACCATCAGAAAGTTTCAAGGCCGCAGGAAAAGGCCACAGGAAGGTAGGCTGATATGTCACTATAGTCAGCTACCTAGCTGGGCGAACGCCACCAGTGAGATTTCGTCAGGGGCGGCGATCTTTCTCCTTCTTCGCCGATGGTCTTGCGGCGTGGGAACCGTGAGGGCCCGATCGGCGTTAAGCAATGTCGGCGGTGCGGTGCCCCGATCGCCGATACATGACGACCACGGCCCGTAATACCGACTTACACGGCGCGTAAGACGGGACTGCACGTATGAGACAACCGTCTCCTAAGAGTAAGCTGCATTCAAGGCCGTCATTGTCGAGTCTTATAAGAAGCATCGATATTCCCCAGATCAATCCATCTATTAACTCAGATCATCGACCTCATCAACAAAGACAGACCACGACTACATCAACCCAACACTGGAACAATTCTAATAATGACACCACTTAAAGGAAAGATAGCAATCGTCACAGGAGCATCCCGCGGCCTTGGCGCAGGCATGGCTCTAGACCTCGCACGCAAAGGCGCATCCGTAAGCCCCCGTTCTCACGTCTCTTCAACCGCTCATCAACAAACAGGTAATGCTCCTCTACACCTCCGACTCAAGCGCCCCTAAAGTCGACTCCCTCATCGCAGAAATTACGTCCCTCCCCCACGCCCCCTCTGCCGTAGCTTGCAAAGCAGACCTCTCCTCAGAAACCGCCCCAGCAACAGTCCTCTCCGCCCTAGACGCCTGGCTCGGCCCCGAAGCCCACGTCGATATTCTGATCAACAATGCAGGAACAGAACTCAATGCACCACTAGGCACCATCTCCCCCGCAGACTTTGCAAAAGTCTACGACCTCAACGTCCGCGCGCCCCTCCTCCTAACCCAAGCCCTTCTCTCGCGCCTAGCACCCACCGGCGCACGCATCATCAACATCGGCTCCGTGGGCGGACGGCAAGGCTTCCCCGGGTTGGGATTATACTGCTCTTCAAAGGCGGCGCTGGAGGGTCTGACGCGTGTGTGGGCGCGGGAGCTGGGGAAGAACGGGACGACTGTTAATTGTGTTGCGCCGGGGCCGGTGCAGAGCGATATGCTGGATAAGATCCCCAAGGAGCTGGTGGAGATGCAGAAGAGGCAGACGCCGGTGGAGAATCGGACGGGGACGGTGGAGGAGGTTGCGAGGATTGTGACGTGGCTTGCTAGTCCTGAGAGTTCGTGGGTTAGTGGGCAGGTTATTAGTGCTAGTGGTGGTTGGGCGATGCACTGAGAGGAGCACACATGTTTTGTACAAGAAGATGGAATAGTTGAGAACTGCGATGTTAATGCCGTTCCGTTATCGAATGAGTAGCTGTTGTCAGACAGTCACCGAACTGCAGCAAGCATCACCTAACTCGGTCAATTGACCGATCGATGTAGTACTTCAAACAAGAAATCAAGCATCCGTTGCAATCAAAAGATCTTGGGTATATTCTTGTTCCTATCCGTCGCTTCAAGTCTTCTAAGCAGAAGCCTTGGCGGCCTCCTTTTCCTTTGCCTTGGCGGCCTTCTTCTCGTCAATTTGGCGCTGCTTCTCTAGCTTCTTGAGCTGGTTCTTCGTCATCTTGCCGTCGGCACCCTCGGCGGGGCCGTCAGTGGTAGCTTCACGGATGGGAACGGACTTGAGGTTCTCGGCGAGGCCCCAGGATAACGGCCGGCGGGAGAAGAACAGGTTAACAGTCTCCTCATCCACCTTGGCTCTCCTCTCCTGGAAGGCCGTGCAGTACTTGGCCAATTCCTCGGCGCACCTCTTCTTGATCTCGCCAGTGAGCATCTTTCCTGTGCGGTAGTCCTCGCGGATCTTGGCGAGCTCCTCGTCGTCCTCAAGGAAGAAGCGCAGGTATTGGTAGCTGACGTCGACTAGGCATCGATGTTAGCTACTACGCACACAAAAGTACGGCCTAAGTCTGTGGTCTTACCATCCGGGTCGGCTCCCTCTGCACGCTGCTCCTCGGCGGTAACCTTGCCACCGCTGAAAGCATACTTGTTCATCTTGTTTTGAATCTGCTTGGGTGTGTCGTTCAAGAAGATGGCACTTGAATCAATTGACGCCGACATCTTGGAGCCAGGGCCCTGAAGAGCATCGAGGAAACGGGAGTGAATGAGAGAGGGCTTGGCATAGCGCAGGCCGGCGGCACAGTCTCTTGTCACGCGGAAGTAGGGGTCTGTGTTGATGTTAGTCTCCTCTCCTTTCTAGACTTAGCAGGGGCAGGGAAAGACGAACCCTGGTCAATGGCACAAGGAATGAGGCAAGGAATCTGAGAAGTCTTCGCCTCGTCCTCGCCAAAGATGTGGGGGAATGAGTTGCCAAATGAGGAACTGGCTTGGATACTAGCAAAGTGAACCTTGCCAATGTTGGAGCTGTCATCGAAGCCGAAGACGGCCTTGGCTGTGTTGAGGGTGATTCTCTTGGCCACACGGGTAACGTTCCTATAGAGAGTAAGCCTTTGATCTCTACTCCGCCGCATACAACTTGGAACTTACTTGTAGAAGTTGCCGCCCATGTAGTCGTAGTCGGAGAAAATGAAGGTCCGCTCGGGGTTGAAGCCAATTGCAATGCTGCGAGATGTCAGAACGCACACTTGCGGATAATATCAGAAGCCTTACATGTCCTTGGCGTTTTCTCTTGTGTAGTGCTGAACCTCCTCGACCGTTCTCTTCTCGGAGAAGAGGAACTTCTCGTCTATAGCTTTTAGTCAGTAAGGAGTTTCACAAGAATTCTTCAGCGCCTCCCCTTACCATCGGTCATCATGATCTATGCTAGTGTTAGCGATCGATTTTTAGAAAGGGGCTATCCCAAGAACAACGTACCACCAGGGGTGCATCAAGCACGTCTGACAGCCACTTCGTCAACTGGAAAGGGATAGCATGTCCAACGTGCATGCTGTCGGAACTCGGTCCACGGCCTTCACAAAGTCTTATCAGCCATTATCCTGGTCCATCCTGCCATGCTGTCCTTTAGACTTTGGAACATCTTCGAGGCAACGCACCAGTGTAAATGAAGAAAGGCTGCTTCTTCTCGACCCGATCGAGAATGAGGTCGAGGTCGCGGTGGGAGAAGACAATCTGGCGACGGAGGAAGTGGTGAGGCCTGTGGCCAGTCACCCGCTCGAAGCGCTCGAGGAGGGCATCGTCAATCAGCTTTGTTCCGAACTCGTCGACGATTTTCTGTACAGCAGTTGGCGGTCAGCTTGAGCTCTGTGTTCACAAAGGGATATTATTCTTACCTTGTAGTCAATGGCCTTGACCTTGCCATCTGTGCCGACCTATTACCTCGAATCAGCCTACGTCCTTCTTACTTATACGCCAATATCTGTAAACCCACTTCTCCAGACACGTTCCAGGGGTCGACTTTCTGGCCTCCCGAGGCTGCGGGCGCGTCGCCGACAGCTTCGGCGGGGATGGCGGCGGTCGGGGCTTCGGGTGCGGATGCCATTACGTCGCGTGGTCTCGATGGGTTGTGTGGAGCGTCGATTGACGAGAGGAAGAAAGAATCCGAGGTCTTGACGACTGGTCAATCGTCTTCTATACGCCTCTTGAGGTGACTCGAATTGTTCGATGACACAGAGCTGTCTGGGCAAAAGTTCCGAAAAACGTGAGTCAATGGCGGGGTGAGGGGTACACCTGCCTTTGCGAGTCGAAGTGCGGCTCGACTTCGGTGTGTACCCCGCTACCCCGCAGTCACCGACACATACCTCGCCCACCTTGTCGGTGAGGCGACGGTGAGAGTTGACACCATATCTCGAACTCACAACCGCTGGGATAACGAGGGACCGTAACTAGTGTTAGGTGGAAGGTGGCATTCTTTTAACATTTAAACTGTAATCTTCAGCTGAACCTATATGTGGGTAAGAGATGAAGATGCAAATTTCTATCCGCTACTGTATCTTGACTGGAGTTCCATTCTGCGAAATGCAACTGTCAGACATATAACCCACTCCCGTACGTTCATACACCATCATTCCAGCAGCATGCTTCATGGCTTTTGGAGTGACGATCAAAACAAAACACTTCCGCTCAGAATCTTGCGTCTTATTTCTAGACCTTCCCACAACAATCACTCTCACGTTTGGTAGTTGGCCATCACTTTTGGCCGGGTTGTCAAAGATGAGTTTGCTCGCCGAGTGGTTGGTGTCGAGCTGAGAAAACTCACGAGCAACGGCGCTGAGGCTGATGCCCAGGCTCTTGTCTGAAGTATGGTAGACCCCATCCGGTGACTTGTTAGCCCATGGCGACTGGATCTCACTCTTTTCCCAGTCCACGCCATCGAAAGGAGGTTCCAGGTAGTCGATGCCTCCTTTGTATGCCATCCAAGACCATGTAGGAACTTCGAGGTCTCTTTCGGCTGGGAAGATGATCCTGTCGAGAGTCGAATCAGATCCTCTCTGCCAAAGCAGGCTCCTTCGCAACAGTCCACCACCATCGTCAAAGACACCGTAGCCGCCGTGGGTCTTGAAGCTCTGGATGAGCCTCTTCTCGAGACCAGCTATACCGAATGGCCTGTCTTCATTTCTAGAGAATTGTAGACGCGAATACTGCTTGTATAAGTCTTGGTAGAGATGGATCTTGGCGCCTCTCGGCGAGTTCATGGCGATTGTGGGGAACCGTGGATCACCGAGGAACGCGGCAACGTTGCTGTGAACATGAAGCGTCAGATTGAGCCAGCGTCTTGTCATATTCGGGCGCGCCCAGTGAACCAACTTACTTATCCAGCTTCGTCATTGTCTCGCAGCGTACCCCTTGGCCGCACTCCCAGTACGTCTGTCGTTCAGTGAAGTAAATCGTCCTGTGTGCCAGTGCTCTCTCTTGCAGAACCCAACCTCGTTTATTAAGTTTTCCTTCAATCACATCCCTCTCAAAGTCGTCAATCTGCTGGCAGACGTGATAGTTGCCACTGTTATTGAGATTGAAAGTCACGTAGTCTCTCTCAGGTCGAGGTCCGAGAAAGCCATCCTCTTGGCCAGTTGCGCGACTCGCCGCGATGACGCAGTAAGCAAAGCTGAAAACGTCTTCCATGTGTTTCGACTCTTCCTTGAAGTCTCCGTCGGCACCCTGTACGATGCAAATCGAGTCTATCCACAGATGCTTAAAGCCAAGCTCTCTCGTTGTGGTGATAGCATCTTTGAAAGTAGCAGGTAGATCATCAAAGTCGATGCCCCTTTTGTGCTCCTCGGTATTATTTGTATAGGTGCAGAAATGCCGATGTTTCGCGGGATCTCCCCAGGGATGGGACAAAGCCAAATACTGTCCGCAAGCACCGTTCGTTTCCCATAGACGAATCTGCGAATTAGAGACGTCAAGAAGCCTCGTGGGAAGGTTGACTTCAGTGGCTTGCAGACAATTGCGATGCTCCGAACCCTGATCGCAACTCTGGAGCCACTGTCGTAGCACTTCGAAGTGCAACTGATGGCCGCCTGGTGCAAGTCTCGGGAACCCGACCTGAAGTCCGAGGCTGTCGTATTTGGAGGAGGTTGAGTCTGCCATAGTTAGTCAATCAGAGGGGAGTCTCTGCAGGGAATAAGAGCATTCACGTACCTGTATCATGAACAATACTCAAAACAGGATCGGTAATCCCGGCCATTTTCAAAGTAGACCCTTCTCTATTCAATTGCAAAGAGCCTGTCTTCTTGAACGATTGGCAGGCTTTTGAAAGCAACATGCAGAAACCACATGTGCCGGCTCTTTCTTGCAGATCCGAGACCGTGTCAAACAGATAAAAGCCGGTTGCTAGGATGTCCAATTTCTCACAACGTTGACAGAGATTCTGGACCTGAGGAAGCGAAAGGTCGTCTGGTATCTTGTCGTGAACTTTCCTGATGTACCTTCTGGCAAAGCTATTATCTCTGCTGAAACGCCAGTGGTCGCTGAGCTGATAGCGGGTAGTCAGCGAAAAGCCCAAGGGCCTGAGATAGGAATAGTCTGACTTACTGCCTTGATTCATCAACCAAGTTAGCGGTCATTCCAGTCAGAATAGGTTTGGGTAGAAGGGTTTGGACATCGGGTTTGAGATAACTTACGTGCTGCATCGAACCAAAGCACATTAGTTAAACGACATCATGTTTGGCATCAAAACGACATTGGACTCACACCCAACTTACCTCCTTAAAGACATCCACAACAGTCAGTGAAATGCGTCATGTCATTATTGCTAGAAGGGAACCATAGTACTCAACTCACATACTCAACAATTGAAGTCAGCTTTCACTGCCATCTCCAAGTGGCATAATCATCGACTACTCACATCATGCTGCATTGCGAGAGTTAGTACGGGGAGGCAAGTGCTGGTGAAGAATACATACCAACTGTATCAAAGTCAGTTGACGAAGCCATGGCAGTGGAGCAAGATACTTACACGTTGTGCTTGTAGTGTGCCTGGGAAAAGGTTGTTCCCTCTGGGCTTGTCAGCCATCCCAGGTGACAGCAAGTCATGGGACTGCGATCTTGGTATGGTCGATGCGGGGCCATTGAGATGTCTCCGATCTTGTGCTTTTGAAAGATAATTCCGGTCAGAATCCGCTTTTTGAAGGATGTCCTCCAATCCAGACCGCATAGCTTTAGCGTCAGCCCGATAGGGCCCAATTTCGAACGTGGTTTGGCTCGCGCTGGTCACAGATATACTTTTGTTTTCAGTGAAGGTTGTCTGAGGTACATAGAGATTCCTTGTTGGCGCTTGCATCAGTAGAGGAACGATGAGCAGCCGGGTTCTGACGAGGTTGAGTAGATCTCCGATGGCCGAGTCTCTACCGCACTGATGGTCAGCAGCCATGGAGTCCATCCATCGCACCACGATGGGATGGACTTCAGCCACTCGCGCTCCGTCAATCTCCTTGACCTTGAAGAAACTGCAATCATAGCCATCGGCACTGAGACTGTCGTCAAAACTATCCAACGCTTCGTAACCGTACAGGAGCCATATGATGCATTCGAGCATGATACAGCCCATGGACCAAATGTCGTAGAGCCTTGATCTCGCCTTATCGAGACGATTGGTGACAGCTTCGGGCGGTTCATAACGGACTGTGCCATACTTCGCGCTGGTCGGTTTCTTTCTTACTGCTGTGGCATCGTTATGGTGCTTTGCAAGGCCCATGTCTGCAATTTTGAGAATCCCAAAACAGGTTTTGTCTCTGAATCGGAGAATGTTCTCCGGCTTCAAGTCCCCGTGTCGGTAGTTGCCTTGACCTTTGTAGTTGTGCAAGGCATGCAACGCATCAGCTAGTCCGCAAAGCTGTGCGATTGTCTGCCCCACAAGGTCTGGTGTGAGTGATGGTCGGTTTTGCTCTTTCCAGAACTCTCTGAGGTTGCCGCCATCAGCCCACTGAAACATGAAGTATCGTTTCTCTCCACGCGAGATAGCTGCAATGCGTTGAATTATGTGGGGATGGCGTAGGTCTGTAATCTCAGAGAGCGCGGTCCGCTCGTCTTCGTAGTTCTTCTCGATCTCTTGGCGTAGATCGTTGTTGACGAGGATCTCTTTGATAGCGACGTGGGCCAGATGTCCGTCTACCTAGATTGTGCATGAGCTTTCGTTCCAGTAGTGGTACTTTCGGGATTTGTTCCTTACTGTCAATTCTGGGTTTTCTTGATGTTTGGGGTGAATCTCTACTTCGTACACCCGGCTGAACATGCCCCCTTTGACGATGTTATTGACCCAGGTAAACGGAAAGATGCAATCAGGAGATAAGTAGTGCTGGAACTTGGTTTTTGAAAAGACAGGGGCTAGGAAACCCCACTGCTGGCTGTAGAATGTCTTGACCTTAGTTCCTTTCCAAATCCTCAGGAGGCGTTTTCCGTGCAATTGGTCGAATGGGAATGGGAAAGCCCAAGTAGGGGAGTTCTGTTTAGGTGTTTCTGGCTTCGCGACAGGAAGGTGGCTGTCGTCGAAGCCAATGCTTCTGAAGAACTTGATAGTTGTCACAAGATCATCGCCGCCCACTCCGCAGCCGACAGCAATTGCGAAGACTTTCTTCGCTTTTTCTTGGACAAAACGTATCACTGCCTTCTCCGGCGTCTGTGGCACCTCGTCGTCAAAGAGCTCGCCAGAGATAGCACGGTCGGTAACGAGGGTTTCGATACTGCCGTCAGGCAAAAATGTTGGGTCCCGCTCATCAAACTTGCTGGTTGCGAAGCATTGCTCCAGTTGATGATCTAGAGGTACATGTACGAAGGATTCCTCTACAAGACTGATTTCACAAGACATGTTCGGTGGCACGGAATGCTGGGACTAAAGCAGAGAAAGTTGAAAATGAGCGGGGGCTCAATCAACATTCTGGGAAGGGGAAAGCAAGGAATATCAAGTGACAGGGAGCACGTCGCTGCTGAGATTTCCCCTGCAAGTTGACAAGGCTCTCAACGCTTTGGATGGTATAGATGGGCATGTTCACATTGGTGATGGTATCAAGCCAATCGAGTCTCTGCCTTCTCGAATCTCCCTGAAAGATTGAGGCAGCCAAGCCGTGGCTGCTGAGCTACTCTTGGGAGCGTCAATCCGTGACCAATCAAGATTCCGACCGATGTCATGAAGGTGCCCACGCATTGCGAGCCTGCTGCTTTGAGGGGAAATATTGACGTGCTTCAAGAACATGCATTGCAGCCTGCAGCACACGGGCTGGCATGCAGTCATCAGCTGGGGGCTGGGTCCAACCTATTGGTGGGTGCCCCCGTGCGATGACCGCACCACGTGTCTCATTTTGATTTTGGCGCCGACTCCTGCAGCCTTTGCTGTGTAGGAAGACTTGGGGCGGAGATATGAGATGATCGACCCTCAGCCTGCCGGAGCCACACCAAAATTCCAATCTCTTTTGCTTCGCAGTTGAGAATACCGCGAAGTCGACATCTTTGTCCCGTACAATCTAGTCAGTAATCCTGTGGTTGCGAGTCAGATGATGGGGCTCTATCTATACAATAGCTTTGGTCGATTGGGAATGAAAAAGATTGAAGTTCGCGGTGTTGTTACCTCTTCGGGTAGGTGCGAAACTACCAACATGATCATGGTCCAGAGCCTTTCCTCATGCCCGACCGTTTCTGAGGTGCCTTGACTGCGCTCTTGACCTTGCTCGAATGGCCGGCGAGGTCTTGAACTTGACTGCTTCTGACAGTAGAGTGTAGATTGAAACACGAATTCCAGCTTTGATCATCCAAAGGTCTTTGAGCCGGCTCTGAACAAAATCTTGGAGACGCAACACACATATCTCGCCACACCGAGAGTTTCTGTCGAACCTCAATGCAGGTCATACGTCTATCACCACTTTTCAGATCCTCCGACTCAACCACCAACATTCCGTACATGATCATGTTCAAAAAGTGATGCAGGTACTCACTACAGGCAGGGTGAGAATGAAGCCTGTCCACGAACTACCCATCCTCAATTGTTAGACCAGAATCGAAGCAGGAAGATCAGCCAGAGGATTGATGGCGACCTACATGAACTACAGCGGGCTTCACTGATGCCGCTGATGAATCTTTTGCTTCGGAATTGTTGATTTTGAAGAATGTATCCGAATCAATCCCTGATAACCATGGGTCTGGCGAGAACCTTAGTTGGGCAAATTCAAGCAATAAGTCTCTGCCGCCAAGCGACCAGGTAATGAACTCGAGGAACAAACAGCCAAGGGACCATATGTCGTATGATTGTCTGATGATGCGCCGACAGAGGTCACATTCAGGTGGCCTGTATGTCGGGGAATTGGCCACCTGGCTTCCGTGTTGATTCGATCGACTAAGTCGAGTATGTAACTCGGCTAGGCCGAAGTCGGTGAGTCTCAAGATACCTTGGTCAATCGACTGTAGTGTGTCGCGGAACCAGAGCATGTTCTCAGGCTTGATATCTCCGTGCCGACCATAGCGCCGTTTAGAGCTTTCGTGGTCTCTACCAAGAGCATCCAGTGGTGTCAATAAAAGGCTACTGGACTGGGCCGCCTTTTCTTGTAAGTCGGAGTCGTATTGGTGGAGCCTTACTAGGCCATCCGAGATGCCCTGACATTGCTCTGCCATCCATGATATTGTCCCCGGCCTTAGCATGGGCCGTGGATTCAGCTCCTTCCAGTACTTCATCAGATCAGCCTCGGCCCAAGGGAAGATCAGGTAGAAGTGTCCCGATTGCTCGTATGTTGCTAGAAGTGAGATTAAATGGGGATGTGAGTCTCCGCTGAACTTTTTCAACACTTGAACCTCCTTTTGAAACAACTCCTTACTCGGCGAGTTGAGACATTTCACTGCAAATGTATTTGGCCGCATCTGTGGCTGCACGTTAGACCAATGTTTCTCCCTGGTTTTGTGACGATTGTTATAGCGGGGTTCTTGAGGACTCACACTTGGTTCCAGAGCTGAATTACTGAAGTCGTGGTGGTCAGGGTGAATCTCGGCTTTGAAAACTCGACTGAAGCCACCCCCATGCATCTCAGTAGCCCCGATATCGTCGTAGTTACTGGTTGAGGTGAACGGAAGAACAATATGTGGCTCAAGGACATAGTGCTTGACGTTCTTTCTTTGGCCTTTGGTAAAGAATGGCGGCAGTATGGTCCATTGGTATTCTTCAAAGTTCCTGATACTCACCCTGGTCCAGGACAAAAATGTATCTAATCGAACCTTGCGTCTTGCTTCGACCCGCAAATCGAAAAGCCCGCCATTTTCGGCGGCCTTGACAAGGGGAAGATCCTGATCGCAGATGCCTTCATCGATAAAACCTTTGATAGCGGGCACCATATTGATCAAAACCAGGATGGCGAAGACTTTTTGGTACGACTTGCCAGGTGGATCGGAAGTTTCTTCGGCCGGATTTTTGTTATCGCAAATCGTCTTTGCGAGTCCCTCATAATAGGAACTCCTTCGAATCCCAGGAATTTTTCTCTTGAGCTCTTGGATGACAGGTTGCTTGCGTATGAGACTATTCAACTGCCCTTTGGGCAGGAACTGTCTGTGAGTCTGAGGGTTGGTCGCGAAGGACATGTACAAACGATCTTCGAAAGAATGAAGTAGAGGGTCCGCTTGTGTCGGCGATACAGGAAGCAGTCCTTCTCTCATAGCTTTTGTATACATCTGATCTCCTCGGTCCATAACTTCGCTAGGCTCTATGGGCAAGGCCGGAACAGGCAGAGCTGATGTCGATGGCAAGCCATTACCAGTGATCGAGGCCAGAGCAGCGTCTGGAGTGGGACTAGGACTGCTGTGATCAAAAGGAGAAGGGACATCCTAATGTCTCAGTTGATCAGTGTATGTCAACCCACAATGTTCTCAGCTCATCTCTCACCAGGTCTGAAATCTCAGCTTCAATGATGGCAGGAACCATGCGCTCATCTCGGACCCCGAGCCCCACTCCTTGAGTCAACTCTTCTACAGTGGCGGGCGGAGGTCCATCGAGCCTTCCCTGCTTTTGACTTGATGTTTCCAAGTTTGGGAGCGAAGAAAAGTCGAACTCAGCTCGGAGTCCATGCTGCGAAGAGTCTAAGTCAATAGCGCCGTTGAATCTCGCTGCGTTTTGGTTGATGGCACTGATTGCGGTTCTCGAATTGCTTTGCGAAAGAGGAGGCGTTGTTCTCAACGAGTTCAAAGTTTTGGATTGATGAGACTTATTCAAAGTCCTATCAAGTCCATTGCGGCTGGTTCCGCGTAAGTCTGGCCTTGACGATGTGGACCCGGCAGTTTTTGTCGTCTCCATGGTGTTTGGTTGAAAGAGATGAGGAGGGCACCTCTCAAGTCAGAGGAACGGGAAACAGAAGGATTCGGACCTTTGCAGAGACGGCCATTGGATAGGCCAAGAGGGCTAGGACACTGTCTTATGTCCTTGCCATATTGAATAGCCCATCGGGTGGGCGGGGTCTCCTCCAAGACGCCTTGTCTTGGAAATAGACAGGATCTTCTAAACCTGTCAGCTGAACCACCTTCCCCAGAGCCTTGCCGACCCTGTGAGAGGGTGGCACGGTGAGTTCGAAGTGGAAAAAGTAACACGGGTCTTCGTTGGCCTAGGTAGCCTGATTTGTCTGCGCGGTAGTGAGCTGATGGTGTACCCTGGTTTCCACCAACCAATTTGCCATAACATTGCCCAAGGCGCCTACCGGTATTATCTGTTTCAACCCCCCAAGGCAGATTGCGTCTGACACAGGACTGTTTATGCACTTTTGACCCTACACTTTACCAACCACGCCCGTAAGTGGGATCAAAGGACTGCGGAATATGACGGAGCTAGTCCGGCACCAGCGCATAGGGGCGACATGCACACCCTTATATCAAGCAGTCAAGTCCCTACCTGCTCGCTGAAAGCTGCTGGAAAGTTCTGGCCACTTGCCTGGGCTTTCTTATTCTTTTCCGCTTCCAGACAACTCGTATTATTTTCTGTCAAGACAATTGCCATGTGCGATATCTCAACACCGATGTTATCGTTGAATGATCATGGCGATTTCCTCAATGAAGAGCCCCCATGCCAGGACCAGGACATCTCTGCCAGAGTCATCAATCCCGCGAAATTGACGTCCCTACTGAAAGACAAGTTTGGCGGTGGTTCATACAATGTGCATGTGAGAGCGAACCTACAACCTAACATTAAAACGTATCAAGTAAACGTTCGCTGATAGACCTTTATATACTTAGATGATGCACAATGTATACACGATTCGAGCCCCTCGTCGCCTGTCAGTGGTGAGTGATTGTATAACTTTTGGTTGCATATGCCCTTTGGATAGATTGCTGATCCAAGTCTTTTTAGACGGAAATAGCGCAATGTGCCTAGACGCTTGTTACCACAACTCCGCCTCTCACTGGAAATCTTCTACACTCGCAATCGTTGTTTTCTTTTCACACACGGCTGTCATCCCCAAGAAATTTTGAGGAGGACTTTGATCAAAGGATTTCTCGGTCTCATATTAGATTGTCAGAATACATTTTCGCGTTTCCTTATAGGTATATCATACATGGCCGCGTGATTGGCATTGAGGAAAGCTTGGCTGGGGGACCGAGCCTGTCTCTACCTTACTTCAACAGCAGGGTAGCAAAGAGCCTGGCGCGGAAGTAGAACGTTCTGCATTTGTAGAATTCTTGTTCCCGCTGACAGAGGCTGTGATTGCATCTTTAACACTGCAGTCATGGGTCATGGGCGATCAACTTTCTAATTCCGAGGATAGGTTGTTTTACTGAAGATATTCATTTTCACGGATCTCAGTTAGCGTTTTCGTACATGTAGGAACGATATGATGGATGCATGTACACGATGGGCCATGCTGTTATCTATCACGGCGCCAAAAGTAAAAGTGTTGCAGTACATGTACATGTAATCTGCCCATGTCTCAAACTGTTTGTGTTTTTGAATTTCTTCGGAAGCCACCCACAATTGTCTACCAGTAGTTGTTAATTATACCCACACCCTACTCCACGACAGGCTACAAGTTCGAGTTCGATTGCCAGTATCAGCACTAGGAGGTATAGCTATACCGGTGCTGAACTCTTTTTTGCGATTTGTCTATTAGGCCTTGACCCGTAGATGCTAATCTTGACCTTACTTATCCGTAATGCCACACAAGATAGAGAAGGTGGAGCATGGGGTAATGTGGAGTCGGCGCTATTTTAGTCGCAGATAAGGCCGCCGAGTAGCATTCCGATCGTCTCCGGTCGGCCTCCGGGTTACCGTGCTTTTTTACTCCTTCTTGTTACTGATCATCGAGATGACCTTCTAGGAAGATTGTGTCTTTGTACTACTAAACTCCCACTCCAGCTTCACAACTTTGACCAAATCTGCCATGTCCGCCCGAGAAGACGTAGGCGGCACCGAGCCTGAAGGCCCACCCATCGCCGACTCGGCCGCCGGCCGGGTCTGGCAGGCTTGCCTTGCTTGCCGCCGCAAGAAGGTCTGTTTCCTAATGCTGAAACACTAAACGACGTTAAGTATAAAGTGGAGGCTGACAAACAAACTTGAAGATCAAATGCGATGGAAAACAGCCTTGTCATAACTGCAGCTCCCGTGACCAGACATGCGAGTTCCCCGGGACCAAGGACAATGCTTCTGCCAGCCGTTAGTAAGAGATACCCGCCTTATCTACTTGAACCTACCTACATGCACAGAAGTCTTACAGTGGAGTAGCTACGTTACATCCTTTGAAGCACGATGCCAACAGATGGATACACTCTGCCAACGGCTAGAAGTGCTTACAGGACAGCTATCGCAGTCTATCGGCGTTCTCAACCAACATTCACCTGTTTCAGCAAGCCAAAATCAGCCCTCCGACTGTATCAAAGTACATGTAACTGAGATCCTTAAGTCTCTTCCAGGATTTGCTACGTTGTTATCTCAAGCAACCACGTCTCCAGCTCGGCGGGACTTAGGGACGGATGCAGACCTTACTCTGTACGCGGGCAGTGCTGGAATGAACGATCCAACGAGAGCGATAGATGAGGAATCTGAAACTTCATCATCCAAAAGCGACGATGACGACGATGATGGCTCTAGCACTGTCGTCGATACCTTGAGGTTGGCTAAATCGAGTGCCGAGGATCTCAGCCAAGCAGGTGCCTTGGTACGAGATTCCTACGGCCGTCCACGGTATACTGCACCTGAAGGACTTTCGTTTCCGAATGTGAAGACTGATTATTGGAATCTTTAGCTTTGTAGGTGGAGCAGCGAACAATCTCATTGTCGAGGCAGCGAAAAGCTTGCTGCCGAGTTTGATCACGACCACGCCTTCTTCTACCGGAGTTAGTCACGAAACACCAAACCTAGCAGACCTCGAGATACCTTCATTTGTCCGCGGGAAACTCTGGCCCCCGCTTCCGTATATCCCTAGACCGGAAAGCCTACCTCGCCCGCCACAATACGTCTCGGATCTGCTTGTGAGCCTGTACTTTGACAAGCTGCACTATACGTTTCCTATTCTTATCAAGCCTCACTTCATGAACCGTTATCAAAAACTCCTAAGATCTGGCACGGACTCCTCTTCACCTAAGAGAGGCAGATTTCTTATGGTGTTCTTCGCCGTGTGCGCGTGTGCATCCGGGCTTTTGCCGTCTAACTTGGAAAGTGGATTGCCGGGCATTGAATTTTATCAAAAGGCCCTTCTCATATTGACTGCATCAACCGGAGAGTCCTCCATTGAGAAGGTGCAATGTCTTGGACTTTTGTCGATGTGCTCGGCAGGGTGGAACACTCTTTCTCAGAGTTGGAATCTAGCCGGACAAGCCGTGAGAGGGGCTATTGACATGGGGCTGCATGTCAGTGATCATTGCGTAGGATGCCCTTTTCGTTGTCCATTGGAAGCTTGCTAAAGTAATTTGAAAGGTGACTGTCGGAAAAGGCTCATCACCTGCTGGGCTGAGCTCCAAGGAGCTTGCCTTTCAGGAGCATTCTCGGAGAGTGTGGTGGTGTGTATACACACTGGACAGGTACTGTAGCTCTTGTTCCGCCCTAAAGACTTCCTTGACTGACAAGAAATCCACGACTATTTGCAGAACAACTTCAATTTGCCTTGGCCGTCCTCTAGCTGTTCAAGACGAAGACTGTCACTGTGAGCTACCATTAGATGTACGAGATGAAGATATTGTGTCCGGAATCAAGAGTCAAAGGACTATCGACGAAGAAGCTATGATGAGTCCTATGAGCGGCTTCTTGGCATTTGCCAGACTCTGCCGGCTCGCAGGCAAGATACAAGAGTTCAGTTCTCCCCTGAAACTACGAAAGATTGCCTCTGCAGATGCAGACAAAACTCACAGATTTTTGGCCCGGGTTGATGCTCATGATCAGGCTCTTCGAAAGTGGCTGGAGAGCTTACCGGGTGAGATTCAGTTCTCGGCAAACAGAAAGAACAAGAAACATGGCGACATATCCATGGTTCATTGTGTTATTACCTTTTTCTTACACGCAGGATCTCTTATAAACCTGTATAGGTATGTGCAACTAGCTCCCGTTGATCATCAAATCATATTGTTGATAGAATACAGATATTTCTTGAACTATCCGAGAGAGTCCGCATTACGAAACAAAGTGGACGTTTCAGGTGCCATCGACCAATGCGTTAATGCTGCGCAAGGTTGCATCTATGTCGCTGATATGGTTCGAGACTTGGTGCCATCTTCACACCATCTGGCTATCTGCGTCCACTATCTTATGCTGTCGGGTATAATCCTGTAAGTGACAGCCTACAATACATGTAGTCATTCCTGGTACATCAGTCGCAAATGCTTACGAGGCTTGAATTGCAGTCTCCGAGTGCCTCTTGATCGCAGCAACGCGGCCCTTTTGGAGGATGCAGAGAAGTGTGCCCAATCTCTCAAAGACCTAGAGCCTCGGTGGTCTGGGGCCAAAAGAAGTAGAGAAATCATTGAGCAGTTGCTAGTCCGACGCCGCAGCGAGATTGCTGGAGACTCGCCCGCCTATCGTCACAATGAAGGCCGAGTTTCGCCGGAAGACGCCCGCAAGACCAACAAAAGACCCTTCGCTGATGTCGAAGCTGTATCATCCTCTCTGGTAGATGTTGTCAGTGGAACCTGGAATCCTAGCACTACTAGCTCGGGGGCGACTCAGCATGATGGATGTATGGATCCTATGCTATTTGCTTCATGGATCGGATGAATCTACGATAGGTCGTCCAGGCATGACGCGGAACGTCTGGCCTGGTTAGCTACTGGCGCAAGATTGCGCGATCCCATGCGTGGATGTCTAACAGGGTGAGCCGGTCACTAATATGAAGCGGAAATAAGCACGATTTCACAGATGTAAGCATTAGTGGGCCGTGCGGCACAGCGCGGCTTCACATGCATTCAGAAGGGCGCTGAGTGGTGATATTACAAAGCCATTCTGTTGGAACAGTAAAGGCTGATAAGGAGTAATAGGCAGGTACCATGGGCTGGCTGGCACCTGCCCTGGGCGAAGTGGGACAACTGGCTTAGTCATCACGGCCGGATAAAGGTGGGGCAACCACCCAGGCCGTCACTACCTACTTCGACCGACTCCTGCCTACAATGTAAGATAGAAAGAAGACGAACAAGCAATAGGATCACCAACAGACGAGTGATAATTGCTACCACTATTTGTCGTATACGACCCCGTGAACCAACACATTCCATCATAATCTCAACATCTCCAATATCATTTTCATCAGTTGCGCTCTTCAAACACCCGGAGCTGCATTTGGTCTCATCGGCTCAGCGTGATTTTCAAAGCTACACCACGACCGTGAGTTGTCGAGATCATACAAAGCACTCAAACGTCACACATCGAGTGCCCAGCCATGGCCTCAACTCTCCCTCCAAACGGCCGCCTCGTCAATATCGGCACCCACTCTCTAGCTCTCTACGCCCACGGCCCAGAGCCCAGCAGCCCAGCCGATCCCGTCGTACTCTTTGTGTCCGGCGTAGCCAGTGATGCCCTTAATTGGCAAGCCGTAGTCCGCCTCCTCGGTCCCTCCCAGCTGCGGAGCTACACGTACGACCGCTCCGGCAACCGCAACTCGGACCCCTCACCCAACCCGCCAACAGCTGAGAACATCGCCCAAGAACTCGCCCTCCTCATCGAAAGCGCGCCCATTCCGAACCCGCTCATTCTTGTCGGGCACTCATGGGCTGGCGTAATCACGCATGAGTACTTCGCGCTCAAGGGCATCAGCCAGGTGGCGGGTCTGGTCCTTGTAGACGCGAACCACGAGACGGCACCGCTCGTGCTAGATGTCAACGACCTCATTCTCTGGACAAAAATCGCCGCAGGAGTCAAGACATACGACGGCTGGGGTCTGGCGGCGTCGCATAAGCTCACGGAGGAAGAGTGGGACGCTTTCATCGCGGAGGAGGCCACCGAGAAGCACAAGCTGATTGCGGGACGGGAGGACACCGAGGGATACGCGCCGAGTTTTGAAACACTGAGGAGTAAGGGCTTGTCGAAGAAGCAGCCGCTTCTTGGGGATAAGCCAGTGTATGTGATTGCTGGGACGCGAAGCAGGGACTGGAGCGGGCTGTACGCTGCGGGCGTCGCGAAGGGGAATGGGACGGAGGAGGAGAGGAAACATGTTAGAGACATGATTGAGGGCGTTGATGCGAAGACTGAGGGGCTCATGAGAGATTTTTTAAAGCTGTCTAGGAAGAGTGAAATTGTGTTTGCAAAAGAGAGCGGGCATTTCGTGCAGATGACACAACCGGAGATCGTTGTCGATGGAGTGAAATGGGTGTTGGACAACCAAACGGCCTCTTCATAGTTGTCAGTGCATTGACTAGCTATAGCCAATATCAAACTTAATAGGATGCATCCTATCCTTTGATTCCTCGGCACCCTTGTTTCCATCAGCTGTTTGTTTAACCTCGCTTGTGTCCCTTCCCAAAGTCGACACCAAGCCCTTAAGCTTGGCCATTTCCCCAGACATCCAAGCTGTGATGGCAACGATATCGGCTCCGCAGTTAACAAAGTGAAACCCTTGCTCAAACTTCGCTGCCGCAGCTTCAGCACTAAGTGCAAAATGACCGACGTATTTGCCAGCGTTAAGTCCAGCTCCAAGCACGCGGGCTGATGCTTCCTGAACTTCGGGTGTTGAGGCATGGTCAAATGCTACGTATCCCATCGATGAAGCAAGGTCGTTGGGTCCGATGAACAACATGTCGATACCATCGACGGACGCGATCTCCTCAACATTTTCTACGGCCTTTCGGCTCTCGATTTGTACACACACCATGACGTTGTCGTTGGCGGTAAGAAGATACTCTCGACCGGTTTGGTTGAAAGCTGCGGGGGCAAACATAGCCCCTGCGCCTCGAAGACCTTGTGGCCAGCGGGAAGAGGGATACTTGCAAGCACGAACGATAGCTTCAGCTTGCTCCTGAGTATGCTGTTAGCTTAATGATGTCTGATTATGGCTGAAGAAATGTACCTTGGTCTCACACATTGGTACCATGATCGCATGCGCTCCACAGTCCAAAGCTCTTTTCATCATCCAATGTTCTGAAGCTGGTATTCGCACAATTGGAGAAACTCCCGAGGATGAGATCGCACCAACTTGGAGATACATCTGACTATCATCAATGTTACCATGCTCGGTATCTATCAGAACCCACTGCATTGCAAACTTTAGTCAAAACGAAGGGTGCATGATGTAAGGTACTCGTTCACTCACATCCTCACCCAACGGTGCTACCGTCCTCGCCAGAGAGTAGCCTGGAAACTCCAGCCATTGGCCAACACTGGGCCCTTGGCCTCTTCTCGCACGCTCTAAAGACTCACGTAGCCTTGTTTTTCCTGATGCATCCACGACGGGGGACTGGATTTGGTTGGCCATGGTGCGGTGAGGTACTTCGTGAGTTGTTGCCAGGGCCTTGAGAGAGTTCGTGCAAGTGTGCCCCTTCACTAAGGTAGGATGGTCTTATCGTATTGTTCGATAGAAAGCATACTCCAATAAAACTGCATGAGTACATGTAGGTAGCTCCCTGAATCATCATGCTTGCACCCCAAGATAGATCATTAACATTGAGCACATGTAAGCTCGGCCGGATCCCGGGCCGTCATTTGCTCACAATCATAAGTCAGTTGCCAAGCAGATAACTAGCTCTGTACAACGCGACCATCCTTGTCAACAGATGGCTGTTGTGACCAGGAATGTGGTCTGGGCCGTTATCTCCGGTATCGCGGCTACCGCACCTAGTGGGAGTTGTCCGGAAGAGATCCGGCCGAAAGACCTTAGAACGGGACTAGGGGCTCAAAGAACCAGGAGTCACTTTGATAACACCAGCGGAGCATCAGCATCAATTGACCGCTCTTGAAGGTAGTAATAGATATAAACAATGCTTTTCTCTCTTAGTTGAGTGGACCCTAAAGTTGGTCTCGAAGTGGAAATCTAAACGGAACTGTCCACAAACCTTCCTATCCGGATATTGTTAGCCGTACTTTGAGCTCTCTTCCATCAACTTCCGGGTCCAACATGGCTTCCGCAGCCGATACCAAGAAGTTGCCCGAAATTGACGAGACAAGCAAGCCAGACGACGTCCTCGAGGGCACCATCGAAGATGCGACCGAATACTCCGATAGCTACTTCCGAAAGCTGCGTTTCAAGATCGATCTATGGCTACTCCCCCTGATGTGGGTGTGCTACGGCACGCAACAAGCCGACAAGACGTCCCTCAGCGTCCAAGCCGTTTTTGGTCTGCGAGAAGACACTGGCCTTGTGGGCGAACAGTTCAACTGGTTGAGCACAATCTTCTACCTCTCCTACCTCATCTGCGAGTTCCCCGGAAACTGGTTGATACAGAAGAGCAACACTGGCAAGTTCCTATCGGTTGTGATGGTTCTGTGGGGTGTAGTTGTTCTTTGCATCGCTTTTGCTAAGAACTTCGCGCACCTCATGATTCTTCGCACGCTGCAGGGTGCCCTCGAGTGCACGATCTCGCCGACTTTCATGCTCATTACTGGAGCATGGTACACTTCCCAGGAACATACCCTGAGGTCTCTGATTTGGGGAACATCCAATGCCGGAATGAACATCATCACCGGACTTTGCATGTATGGAATCGGACTGCACGCTCAGAAAGACCCGGGAGGCTTGGCTGCAGTAAGTCAAGCACCGGCATTGCGTATAGCTGACTTTGACTAACGGACGTTTCTTAGTGGAAGGGAATCTCGCTGTTCCTCGGCGGGTTGACCATCGCGTGCGGGATCCTCGTCTGGTTTATCCTCGGTACGCCCCGCGAAGTCCGATGGCTCAATGAAGACGAGAAGAAAGCTGCGATGGCCCGAGTCATCGTCAATCAGACTGGTTCGGATCGTCAAAAGAGATCCGAGTTCAAATGGGATCAGGTGTGGTCGACGTTCAAGGGTAAGAATTTTGAGTACTAAGATACAATAAGAGGACACCGAAAGCTGACACTCTCGTCTGTAGATCCCCAAACATACTTCTTCTTCTTCGTCACCATAATCAACGCCTTGCCTAACGGAGCGAATACGACGTTTTCGAAACTGATCTGGAAGTCATTTGGGTTCACACCGTTGGAGACGTTGTTGAAAGGTTCCACGCCTTACTACTGCGTCAGCATCGTCTGGTTCTTGGTAGTGGGATTTGTAACTTTGAAGAAGCCGAATCTTAGATGTAAGCCTACGATAACGGGATTTGGAGCCTTGACCCAACTGACTTTGGACTTTGCTTAGTCTTGATGATGATGTTTTCTCTCGTGCCAGCTTTTAGTGGCATGATGGCTCTGGCTTTTCTGCCCACGGACACGATGAAATGGACTAGATGGGGGATGTATATCCTTCAGGTCTTTGGTTCCTTACCAGGTCTCAGTAAGTATCTCGCATCTCATCATGTTTGCCCTGTTATGTGACACACATGTGTTGACGAGACATAGTGATTTGGACATTCTTGCCGTCCAATGTAGCCGGAAGAACCAAGAAGACTGTCACATCTACAGTTCTCTTCGTTGCCTACTGTGTTGGTAACGCAGTCGGTGCCCAAATGTTTGTGGCATCCGACGCCCCCAAGTACATCCGCGGCCTCACTGCGTGTGCTGTTCTCTACTGCGTGGAGTTCTGCAGCATGGCTACATGGCGTTTCTATTGTAAGTGGTGGCCAAAAGTTTTGATATCCGAATGTAGAAGCTGACCTGTGACCCAAGATATTTGGGAGAACAAGAGGCGGGATAAGCTTGTTCGCGAGCAAGGGATTTCGAAAGAGGAGGGTGAGCGTCTGGGAAAGTTGAACGCGGAGGCCGATATGACGGACAGAGAGAATATTCACTTCAGATACAAGTATTAGTCGGCTCAGAGAACAACATCTTGTCGCATGTCAAGATATCAGCAGGATAATCCGAGTAACAGCTCCATCAAATTTCTAACAGAGTAGTTATCTCATCGTTCAGACGGGCTAGAGCCAGTTGTACGATCAATACAAGACTTAGTCTCTTCGCCATCTTCTCCACGCAAATTCACACGGACCTTCCTTGCAGTGTCTTGGAACTCACCCATGGTGGTGCTACGACTGAGAACACCGCCAACATCACGACCATGCCTGATGGCAGCCAAGGAGCTGCTCTTCCATAATGGCACGCTGCCTCGACTGTTAGAGTTGCCCAGCGTCGCAAGTGAGAATGCAGTCGCCGAGACCAGCATCACGCCGTGGAGGGCAATCCATGGCCACTCGATGTGGTAGAGCACCGTGGGCTTGCCCACCTTGCCATAGTTACCCAACGAACCATCTTGAAAGCGGTCCGTATCTATTCCGCGGTTCTGACTCTGTCCTGGTGCGTAGTTCCTCCGCATCTCATTGGTCATACTTGTCGCAAGGGTGTAGAATGTGCTAGTGATGTTGTGCCTTGTCCAAGTCCAGAGATTGTCTAATGCAGGCGGCGTAGCCTTCATTGATAACTTCTCATAAGGACCGAATGATACACCATTGAAGCCGACCGCATCGGATCCCAAAAGCTTCTCAATCTCCTCCCTCTGATCCAGAGTGCCTGACACATTGGTGCGAAACAGCTCCTGCATGTGCGCGCTCATCGACTTGACGGAGTCTTCGGAAATTCTGTAGTAGCTCTCGCTTTTGTTGTTGGGGAATTCAAGCCTCAGCTCTATGTTAGGAACAGCAGACCAATATCTGTCGAACTCGAGCGTGCCGTTTGCTTCTTTCGAAATGACGTTTCCTGGTTGGCCATCCTCGTATTCTGGAGAGCGTATCCACGAGTCTGGATCTCGTCTGGAATCGAGTGCTTCCGAGACGTTTTTCCCTGATTTGGTTGCCTTCGACTGCTGAATCGATCCGCTTGACGCAATAGTAGAGTGCGCACTCTGTGGCCTGCATCGGTATGTCCGGCCAAAGCTTGAGTCCGGCCGTGGAGCCCCTCTCCGACTCGCCGGGAGTGAACCCGGTGGACTTGTTGAGTGCCTCCATGTCTGGGTGAATAGTGTTCATTGACCACAAGAGCGTATCGATATCCTTCATGGAGTTGGTCTTGCTCGGTATTCCAGTTCCGTAGGACGTGGTGGGGTACTTGTCATCCGAGTAGACGTCTAATGGCTGTTCGTTCTCGCAGTCCGCGTAACGCCCGTTGTATGGGGGGCAGCCATCGATATTGGCAATGAAGTGGCCGTTAGGAAGGAAAAATGCTGTACCCGGGACTGTATACCCAGCCAATGTGGTGTTCGCCAAAGCGATTATATTATCGCTTGTCCGAAACCACCGACTTGCTTCAGGTCCGATGTGAGGTCGTTGCACCTATGGCATATCCCTAGACTAGTAAACTGGTCCCATGTGCAGTTGCTCGTGGGGCACTGGATCAAAGCCTCCTGCTGAATTTCCCAAGGTGATTTGGAGAGGCAGTTCAATATCGCCCCTTGCATGGATAGCGGTGTGTCCGTGGAAACCCACCTCTCCGTGATGGTCGAATTTTGCCTCGACAATGATGTGACCTGCGCTGTGCCTATGGAATATGTACTCGTGCCGGAGTTAAGTGCCAGTGGGCCCTTGTCTGTCTGAGTGCTGCCCGTATAGACGACGTCTTCTCGAACTTGGATAATCTGCTGGGCGAGGGGATCAAGACCGACGGCAAGGAGCGTCAGGATAGCACCAAGTTGGACGGCGTAGCTGGTGCCAAGACCCTGTTAGCGGCCCTTCTATCAGATGGTAGGATATGTTCGGAGTAGACTCACGCGCCTCTCGTTCGGGATAGAATCCGCAAGCTTCCGAGGGGCCCACGAGTGGCAGCGTCGATGCGATCAAAATCGATGAGTGGTCGATCTTCGCGGGTGAAGAGAATCCATTTCCACTGGGCTAGGCACTCCGATAGGACGAATGCGACAGCAGCCTTCATAGTTACCGACAAGATCGAGACTACGGTGTTGAGGGTCACTCCATTCCATGTGAAAATTGGTTTGCCATCAAAGCGGGCGAGGAGCACCGCCATTGCGGCAAAAGAGACGATGCCACCGACCAAGGCCCAGTATTCTGGACCCCATGCCGACCATCGCAGTGAGTGAAGCATCGCGGGTGAGCGTTGCCCCTGTTTTTGAGATGTTGAACAAGGAAATGAGGCTTGAAGGCTTGAGTGTGCGACGGCACAAGTACATATTGTCGACCAGGCGCACCCCCTAGGACGCCAGACAGCTGGGACTGGCAATTCTCAGAGTCGAAGCCCCTGACTACATGAGGTAATTGGGCGCCTAGAGTGAGATCTGTCTCACTTTAGGTGGTGTCGGGTGTGGATTGAAGTAAGCATAAGAGGATCCGAACCCATGTCCGTCAGCCCTGAGACTACGGGCTAAATTCTTGATTTTACCTCGAAGGCACTATGAGCTCACGCGGATGCAGAGCGCTATTCTTGGCCTAGCATAAGCATGAGGAGCCAAATTGTCACGAGTTATGGCACGCAGCAATGGGCATATGAAGTGGGTTAAAGTGGCTTGAAGTAACCCATCTAGAATGAGCACATGAGAGCAGTCTATATACTAAGAGAGTGTGATATCCACGTGAGAAAGCACGTGGCAAGATGCTTGACAAGTGCTGATACCATTCCTGTTTCGTGACACAAATCACTCGCCTCCAGGCTCCAGCGAGTCCAGCCACCATTTCTTTGATCATGGCCAGTGCAGCATACGAACGTGTAACAGCTTGCGCCTCAAACATCCAACCCTCTCATACCTGCAGTTGACATTACAAAGATCTTCAAATTAATGCGACTGGCACCTTCGGATCCTGAAGCGGCTTACTTGCCAGCAAAGATATTCCCCAACTTCACCAGCTCATTCCATCTCTCATCGGGCCGGACTTCAATCGTGGCCTCCGGGGTCAAGACTTTCATCTCCTCAACGCTCTTCGTCCCGTACTCATACGCCTCAGTATCGTTCACGAAGTTGACCAAGATTTGAATCCAGTCTTCCATCAATTGTCTTTCGGTCGGGGTCGGACCATGGGTGATTGAAAAGCTGGGTTGGATCAGGTGTCAGCAAGCGCCCGTACCCTGTAATAGATGACTGCTTCGAATAAGGAAAGGGAGAAAATCAGACTCACTTCCAGATGGGCCTGTCCATGGCATGCGCCACCCCGAACGATGCCGGCGCCACCTTCTCGTCAATGAAGGACAGTCTGTAGGCGATCTGGTACCGCCACACGTCTCGGACATCGACGCCGTTGTCGACTAGCGCTTTTGCAAGTGCCCTAGACGGAGCGCGCACCTGTCCGTCCGAAACAATTGATCCTGTGGCATACGAGTGAGTAACTGGCACAGGAGTAAATTGGTTGCCTTGAATAGGGACGTTCTTACCAAAGGTTGTTTGCCAGTCTTGCAACTTGTCTGATCCTGGCAGCTTGTACTGCGAAATAGCGCGATCTGTGACATCCGGAGCGTAGTAGTTCGAGACTTGTAAGCGCAGAGCTTCGAGCGTCGCCTCTGTAGGTGCATTGTACGAAGAATAGAGTGTCTCTTCGTTGCGAACCTCGCCGATGAGCAACTTGTACCCTCGGCGCTTAAATTCATCTGCGAATTTCTTGCCCTGGATGTACTCAATCATACCCGAGTGGATAAAGACATCGTCTGTAACGGGCCGGAACGTGTGGTTTTTCAACTTGGGGATGGCCTCCAAAAGCTCTTCGGCACTCTTTCCCCGAAGAACGGAGATCTTCTCCCCTCCAGAAATGGCGGCGTCGATCTTGAAGTATTCGCAAAGCTCGTCGAATTGGTCTTGGACATCGTCGAGAGATTTCGGCTGTGCTGGAATCGCGTTTGAGTCCATGAAAATGCGGTGGCATAACGAGGAATCGCTGCCAGCTTTCCGGAAGTCGTAAAGCATTTGTGCCTCGGCGCTGTATGCTCCAGCGCTCCGGCCAGCAAGCGTCACATTTCCTGGGTCTCCTCCGAAATGGGCAATATTGTCTCGCACCCACTCCGCGGCCACCCGTTGATCCCAAAGACCAAAGTTGCCTCCCGCTTCACCGTTGCTCTCCTGCAAGAGATCATTTCCTGCCAGAAATCCAAAGACGTTGAGACGGTATCCAATAGCCACAACGATTGCATTGAGTCCACCCGTGGTGATCAGCTCTGTCGCATCCATCCCCGGCTCCTGCGATGGATCGCCCATCTGAAACCACCCGCCGTGGATCCAGAGCTGCACCGGCCATTTCTTATTTTCCTCACCCTCTTTGGGAACCGGCGTCCAGATGTTGACAAACAAGCAGTCTTCGCCGTAGGTATTTCGTCCGCCGTCGGGATTGACTACGTGGAAGGCCTTCTGAGGGCATACGGACTTAAAGTTTGTCGCGTCATATGCGCTTCCATTATCGTCGGTGTAGGAGAATGATGCGGGCAATGGTCGAGGTTTCCGCCATCGATGCTCGCCAGTTGGTGGCAGGGCGTAAGGGACGCCGGTGAAGCGGCGCGATTTGTCGTCGAACTGAAGCCCTCGAATGGTTCCTCGGTCGCCCAGTTTGAGCTCGACTGGCGTTTCTTGGTATGAGATGGTGTTGCCCATGATGCGATGGCTCTTCTACGAGTTCAATGTGAGTACGGATGATTCGACCAAGAATTTGATGTCACAACTGGTTGATGAATATGCCATCGCCAGCACTCGCGAGGGTTTCGGCGCCAGAAATGGCTTCCGGCGGGGCTCCGAGATCCGTTCCGATATGGGGCCGATAACGACTGATTCCCTCCCCCGCGGGCACTTGACTGATAAGATATCTCTCCAAGCTTCGGTCGGATCTCCGGCCGAGGAGCCGACTAATATGGCTCATTGAAGTGTAAGATTAGTGACTAGGCCTATTGATTTCGCGAGTTCAGCGAAGCTTAGATAAGATAGCAGACTCATCCGCGAAGAGCGCAAAGAAGTCATGAATTCTCACACTTTCGTCAATGACCTAAGTAAGGTAGGTAGTACGGTTGGCATCAACGATCGGGTTGTCCTTTGATTAAGAGCTGTAGAACCATTCGCCCCCCGCCAATCTTCTGAAAACGCAGAGAGCCGAAAATATGGGCAGTCTTGTTCATAGTTGCAAGTCCACTATGGTGGACCTGTCCCATCACATCAATACCAAGAGCAAGGCCCGCCATCCCTCACCATTGAAAGACATCATCAAATTTATGGCGTATGATGGCATGGTGAGCTTCGCGGGAGGTAAGTTATCAAGCCCCAAGACGGTTGGAATTGGACAAAAGCTGACGGTGGTACATGTAGGATTACCTCATCCATCTCTCTTTCCGCTTGAACAAGCCAAGTTCGACTGTTTGTCCCCAGCAGCTCCACTTACAGCAGACCGACATTCTGTCGACCAGGAGAAAGTAGATGGACTGAGTTTGAAGTTCGGTCGTGGCTTGTCTACAGGAGATCTGGATTTAACTCAATTCCTTCAATATGGTATGTGTTTCCGCTTCGACTGCCTCACCCTCAGTCAATATTCTCACTCCCGAATCGCAATGTTAACAGTCAGCAGGTTCCGGGGCTGGCAATCGACAGCTGATAGCTCTCGCAAAGGAACTGACCGAGAGGGTACATTCGCCTCCCTGCGATTATGAGTGCCTGCTTCACCCCGGTAATACCAATGCATGGGCGAAGGTAGTGGGATTGCTCTGCGAAGATGACGACTTTGTCATCGTGGAGGAGTTCACGTATCCTTCAGCGCAGGCTCTCTGGATCCCCATGGGCATCAAAGCTGTACCCGTTGCTGCTGATGCGGCGGGAATCATGGCCAAAAATCTCAGAACTCTTCTGTTGAATTGGGATGAGCGGGAAAGAGGGGCACGAAGACCTGGGGTGTAAGTCTTTCGTCAGGTGCGATGCTATGGATCATATCCGTTGTTAACGAGTGATAGACTCTATCTTGTCTCTGTCGGATCGAATCCGACAGGAATCACTATCTCAACACAAAGACGAAGAGAAATCTACGAGATCTGCGTTGAGTTCGGTTTGTTCGAGCTGCTCGCGTCCACGCAGAAACGTCACTGACAAATAGTAGACATTATCATTGTCGAAGATGATCCTTACTACTTCCTCCAATACCCAGGCTACGGGGCTTGTATTGAATCATCCTTCATACCAAAACCCATCCCAGAGTTCCTCAACACCCTCGTACCTACATTTCTCTCCATGGACACCCAAGGCAGAGTTATCCGTCTCGACTCCTTCTCGAAGACCCTCTTCCCCGGTCTGCGTCTAGGGTACTTCGTCGCCAATCCAGTCTTCACGGAACGTCTCCTGCGTGCAACCGAAGTCGAGACGCAGGACCCAGCTGGCCTCAGTCAAGCATTTGTCCTCGGCCTCCTTCAGAAGTGGGGTGTCGATGGCTACCTCACTTGGCTTCAAAACCTGCAATTCCAGTACCGTACCAGACGGGACTGGCTTTTGGACGCATTCACCGCCCACTTTGATCTTTTGCCTGCAGAGAAGTCGCCCATACCTGAAGCGCAGGGTCTTGTAGTGTGCGTCAAGAGTTCCCATGATGGCAAGGTGAGACCCGTGTTCAGCTTCGTTGATCCCGGAGCTGGCATGTTCGTCTGGTGTAAGTTCTACTTTGACGGCGTCGACCGCTTCATGGAGATTGAAGGTGCCGCAAAGAGCAAAGATCCAGAGCAGGACTTTGCCAACGAGCTGTGGCAGGCGTGGGCGACGGAACTTGTGCTTCTTACTCCGGGATCGTACTATCACGCGTGGCAAGGGCCTGACAAGATGACTACCGCGGCCCGAAGTGCTGATCCGCGCACCGCGCATTTCCGATTTTCTTTTGCAACGCCGACGGTAAGTCTGTTCAACACACTCAGGATATTGTAAATCACTAATGTCGGCCATTGTAGAAAGAAGAGATCAGCTCTGGGGTAGCACGCCTTGCAAAGGTGATAGCAAAATATTGGGTATAGAGAGGTTTAGGAACAGTGTTTAGTCAAGCAATGTTTCTTGTTGCCCAAAGGCTTCTTGATGCAAACTAATTTATCTGTAATCCACCTTCTACATGACTTGCAACAACTGCTGGAGTCTCACCAGCACATTCCCTCTTCACTAGATGTAGGTTTGGGTATCAAAGTTTTCAAACAGCGCTCGAGGGCCCAGGCTTGTTCTTAGAGTCGTCATCTTGGAGATGCACTGATCTTCCTTCGATGGGCCCATCAACTCCCTTGGGTCTTTCGAAAGGCGCCATGCCCTTGCTGATCGCGACATCGTCCTCGAACGTGCCGTAAAGATCAAAATCATCCTGGCAACCCAGCCTCTGGGGCTTGAAAACAAAGGTCAGGAGAGCATAGAGCGCTCCAGCCTCCAGGAAACCGAAAATGTAGTTGCCAAGGTAGTACTTGTAAAGCCCATCGTTGATCTTGACATTGGGGTTGACAGCCGCAACCATTCCAGGCATGGCGGGGACGAAGCAGACAACCCAAGCGACAAACGCTCTCCAGTTGAAGCCGTAGGTGTACCAGTAGGCACCCTCCTTTGATCCGGTGTACAGCTGACTGATCTCAATCTTTTGTCGGCGGATGACAAAGTAGTCGGTCATCATAATGCCGGTCAAAGGGCCCATGAAGACGGAGAAACTAGCCGCCACAGACACAAATGTGCTAGCAGTGTTGTAGAACTCCCACGGCTGAACGGCCCAAGACAAAGCCGCGGCCAGAAGCGCGCCACGCTTGATAGTGATCCAGGTAGGAAGCAGACCCGCGAGATCCATGCCAGCAGCGTATCCGTTGCCGAGGATGTTCTCCGCAATCTGACCAAGAACAAAGCCCAGACTGCAGAAGAAGGCGCCAGCGCGGGCCTTGGAGCTGTAGTCGTCCATCATCCACTGCGTGATGACAGTCAGCGGGTTCCACATGGGCTCCTCGAGCTGCCAGATCTCCATGGAGGCCGAGGCGGTGAGAATGGCGAAAATGGGGACGATCATGCCCGGGATAAAGAGGGAGAAGATGATGCCAGGAACTTGGATGCCTTGCTTGCGGGCGAAACGCGTAAAGTCGGATTGGTTGAGGATGCCGGCCGAGATGTTGCCGACGGAGGCGATGATGCCGTAGACCCAGGCCCATTCCTTTGTGAGGAGGGAGGGCTGCTTTGCGCCGGACTCGAAGAGGGGGCCTGTGCCACCGGTGGTGCAGGCCCAGATTGTGATGCCCATCATTGTGACGAAGACGATTAGGTTGGCTGTGATGACGGGGATCTTGGCTTTCTCAATTCTGATGAGCTACGGGAATGGTGTTAGAATTAAGAGGCGTGTGGAGCATGAGCTTGACCTTGGCTTTCTCACCAGGAATGGAACTGAGATCAAGTGAAAGATGACGAATCCAACAAGGTCTCTGGTGACCATGTGCGCACTCTCTGGGAGCGTGTTCTCCATCATCAAGAAGTTGTAGCTCCAGCTGCTCAGCATAGCAGATACGCAGAGACCACCCAACCAGGCTTGAGAGCCGTACCAGACAATCGAGAGCATAATTCGGATCAACTGGCCGATGTAGGCACCGTTCATACCCAGGATAATTCTATAGACTTTTTGTAAGTCTCGCGTGCCTTACTTCACGGAGGAAAACATGGTGACGATTTTCGGCGCTTACCTCTGAGACACAGTGAAGCCAATATGCCATTCTGATCCCATCCATCCGTTACCGATAACGAGCAGACAAATCAGGGCTCTAGCTAGGATCATCAGACCGATGGTCTGCGGGATCGTGAGACCCAGCGATAGCAAAGAAGCCGCGCCAGTCCATGCTGAGATGCAAAGACTAAGAAAGCATGGTCAGTAAGCTGTAGATCAAGCTAATGCAGCTTTTACCAGACTTACTTGGAGATGGATCCAAAACCCAAGAATGCCCACATTCCCCACGTTCTTCTGTTGGGAGGCAGTGGCGCAATATCAGGATTGATCCATTTTGTCGTCTCGTATCCGTGCTCGTGGTCATCGCGGACCCGGAATCTCTCGAGCAGTCTTTTCGCCATTGTGGCCGACGTAGCCGATGGCGGGTCTTGGGTTGAAAGCCTATCCCCACTCGTTTTCTACAAGCGATGGGAGTCTATTGAATAGATCTCCTGCACAGACAGCTGTCGTCAATGTCTCAAAAGTTCGTTGAGGAACTGAGAACAGAGTTGAAGCTCGAGAACCGTCCCGGTGGCTGGTACAAATTTTCCAACTTTGCTGAAGACGTCGGTCTAAGAGAGCAGATGTGGCTCTTATGTCGGTAATAAAAACACCGCATCCCCCCCACACGGGATAGTCCACCCTCCATCCCATCGGCTTATCAGATTGATCGAGTGGTGCGAGTCCATCTGCAGCTCGACCTTATCAGATTCATAGATCCCTGAAGACCACCCCCAGGGATCAGCAAGAGACTTTTCACACTTTCCACGCGCTGCCACCAAAGGTGACGCCGATTGTCTCCGAGGTCACATTGGACCCCGCACCTGAGCTGTCCATTTTTGTAAGGAGACACTGGAAGAGTAGTAGCTTGAGTTTTGGGATGGAAAAAAAGCCACTTGGGGAAAAGACGACCGATGGTAGAAACAGGCTGGTCGATCAGATATCCGCTCTTGGCGCTGGGGTAAGAAGGCTTGAGAGACATATGCGAGAATGCCAAGTGTGCCAACAGCCGTGCGCAATGATTGGTTCATCCACCATGTCCAAGGCTTCAGAACTGTGATGTACGTCTTGTCGTGCTTTATCAAGATAGCCTGTCATGATAGCAAAGATAGCCAAAGCCTGCGCCACAACGTGGTCGGCCAGGTTCAGAGCTTATTAATCCGAGACAACGGGTTAACCGTGAAGGACTAGGCCGCGTGGGACCCGATCTACGAACAACTGGATGCGCTTGCAGTGAAGCCTATTTCAACGTCAACATGTCCCGTTGGGACAATTTTGCAAGCTAAGCTAATGCACCCGTTTTGTTTCAAGAAATCATGCTTATGAGGTGGAGAGAGAGAGAAAGTCCCGGCTCATGATGAATGCCGCCCGCCGCCGCCGCCACAACCCGAACCCGAACCCAGGGTGAGCTGTTTAATTACCTCACCCACACGCCGGCCGAACTCCCAGTTGATGGAAACCAAATCAGATCGGCAAACACTCCCCCGGAAACTCTTGCGCTACAATCATCCAATTCCACTCCCTGCTTTGATCCCTCGCCTTCCAAACCCGTTCCTCGACAAACATCCTCGTCCGTTCGACCGTCACCGTCTTGCGGTGCGTGCTAATCGCTTCAAAGACGTCGAGCACGGCAGCTCGGTCGTCCGCATCCAGCATCTCGCACGCGGCCATGAAGACGGGCCACAGCAGCATCTTGGACTCGGACGGAGGCCCGCTCGTGTACAGCATCACGTCGTGGGCCCTGCTCAGCGCCTCGCCGTCCGCGTCCGCCGTGGAGCCGGGGAGGTAGAAGAGCCGATGCAGGTAGAGGAGCGCGCCTGCGCGGTAGCAGGCGGCCTGGGCGCGGAACTTACGCGCCGAGCGGAAGGAAAGGCTGTCTGAGATTGTGGGCTTCCAGGACTCGAGGCGCAGGCGGAGGGAGTCGGCGCGCAGGGCAATGTTGGAGTAGCCCGCGTCGAGCCAGCTGTCGACGCAGACGGGCGGAGATGAGGAGCCCCTTTCTTCTGTGCTTGTTGGCGATGTTGCGCAGCCACCACCCAAGAGGCTAATTGGGAAGGCGGACTGAAGGATCTGGTCGCGGACCTCTTCGGCCAGAGTGCAGAGCTCTTCTAGTAACGGCATGAGGGTTACGGTATACCCAAGCAGACGGTCAGGCTTAGCCGGTTCATTTTCTAGCCAGACGTAGCTGGGAACTCTAGGACGGCGAAGTTGGATCAGAGAGACAACGAGATCTTGCCTCGCCAGTGCCCGGAGGTAGTATCTCGCCACGGAAGATATGTCGCCTCCCGTAGAAACGTGGTGGCTGATAAGAGAGGCTACATTTGATAGGACTGTGGGTATGGTTGCATGGTGTCCCGGTTGTGCCAGAGTGACGAGCTAGGCCCTGTGAGCAATGCGATTCGGGTCACTGGGGTGCAGTGGCCCATCCATCCGTCTAATGCAAGGTCCACGGGTTCAAGTTCCAGTCCCGAGCAAAAGTGATGAAAATTGACCCACGCAGGAGAAAGAGAAGAAAGGGGGACATGAACTCACTTCCATTGCACACAGTCCGAGAAGCAGGAAGAGCGCCTCTTCAAAGTAGTGAGTCGAGGGCTTCATATTCCTCAAGTTGGCGAGGATCTTTGCCCTCCGGTTCAACACCGGTAACAGCGCCGCGGATGAGCTGCCGACGTCATATGAGTAGCCAATGGCCGAGATCGTGTCAGCAATCACCACCGGATCCTGCTGCAGCATCATCACGATGTTGGCGTTCATCTCGCACACGAACTCGTGACCTATCAGCAGCTCAAAGGGGTGTCTGTTGAAGTAGACTTCAAGATACGGCTGGTCCGCGACAGGCACCGACCCCGGAGGAAGCAGAGAAAAAGTGCGCGTATCTAGAGCCAGCGTCTGCCGATTTGAAATTGCTGATGCGCTTTGCGACGCCGGCGTCGTTGGAATGCTGCTTGTAGACCCGGCGGAGACGGCTACGGAGAGCTGGTCCGGAGAATTTGATGCAGATCCCGACACTGGCTCTTTTGCTACCGCGGCGGCGGTATTACTGGCACCAGCACCGGCAGCGAGCAGAGACGAGGGTGAGTGCCGGGCATGTTGGGCAGAGCCAGGCTGCGTCTTGTATCCCTGGCACACGAGCCTACGCCGCGCGCAAGTTCCGCACGAGGGGCGAATCTCATCGCACTTCACCTTTGCCTTGCGGCAGTCGATGCAGCCGTTACGCGAGCGTCGCGTAGGGGGAACCAAGGGCGGCATCTGGACTGGATCGGATCGTCGTAGGCTAACTCAACTCCGGTCTGCAGAGAGCAACCGGGGTGGCAGCAGCAGCAGCAGCAGCAGCAGCAGCAGCAAAAAAGCAAGACCGTGTGAGAAAGATACGGATAGAGGAGCGATAACTGAGGTGAGACTGTGAGATAGAGAGGGTCCTGGATCGTGCCTTACTTCCGTTGACGGGCGTCCAGTTTCGCTTGGATTCGGGATAGAGTTGTGGCTGGCGGGAACCAACGTTCGTTATCACGTTTCCGCCCGCCCCTCCTCCAAGCGAGCGAGCGATTTTCTGCAGTTCTGCAGCAATTTTTTCGCGAAATTTGGGGGGCCCTAGTAGGCTGCTGTCTGCTCGAAAGAGAAGACAAGGGTGTAGTTGTAACATAAATGGATTGGCGGCGGAATGCTGCGTGCGTGAGTGTGGTGAGCAATAACTTTTTATCTTATCAGATCATCTCCATCTAGACCAGCAAGCCCAACCCCCGCGAGCTGCAGGGATTTCCCGATATTAGTGAGGGGTAAGGATGGTGAGGAGAGCCACTTGCGGCGGTACATCGGAGCTTGCGATCAACCTTGATCGGGTGTGGTTCGTCTGGTGTTTATGTGTGATTTTTCAGAAGAGGTCCACTGGAACTTGGAAGATCGATCCATGACGGCCTCGGCATATGTACGTCTAGTCACAAGCCATCCTGAGAGCTTGCTCACTTACTGCAGAATCTTTAGGGATGGTAGAATGACCGACGAGAGAATTCGACGATTCCGCGTCCATGCTTCATGAAGAAAATTCTGATCAGTATCAAACTCTTTACGGTGGAATTGAAGCCAAGAATCGAATATTGTCGTCGGCGAGTGTCCGCCCTTGGGGGTCACCGTCGTCAACACCCTGAAAATTCTTACGTACAAATACACCGTCAATCCAGCGAGTCATTTATTTCAAGCACGACAAAAGCATCACCCAAAGTCTTCAAAGAATCTTGAGTGGGCTCTCATTATTTCATCATCGGCAGTGAGCCACGTGAATTTTAGCTGTTGTTTACGATGAGAAGTAGCGGTCGTGAGACCTAGCTATGAGACCGTATTTTCCTGTAGTTTGACCTCTGAGGCCTTTATCTAAGCCGCTCTCAGTGAAGAAGATGCATGAGCTCATTTAACTTGTTGGGCAGCGATTATCAGGTAGGGGGTCAATGGGATGTATTGATGAGTATGAAGAACGAGTGGCTATGGGAATATCCCGACTATCTATATAGTGAGTGGAAGACCCTTTATACTGGCATATCCTTGGCAAACTTAGTCATGCTTGTGTAAGACCATATTGTTTCATAGGCATAGTGTGACAATCGTTGTAACGAGTGTACTGGGATGGGCCTGACATAACTCACTTGATCACTCCAGTCGAGCGAAATATGCGACTTCATGTGCACCTTGATCTTCATGTTCATACTATAGGTGGCACATCAAACAAGGGCAATCCAGAGACAAATGCAATCTCATGAGGCAGCCCAATCGCCAGATCTACCTGCGAAAAATCGCCGATGCTCAGGATCCCCGCTGGGCGCTGGCCACTCGAGCGGGGAACAGGTGAGCCGGTCCTCACCGGCGCTGGTGCGGACGGACCTCAAGCATCACCACGACCGCATCCGGTTCCAATCGTGGTCGCAGCACAATGCCCCCATTTTCCTGTTTTCTGTGACCTTTGGTCCCCCATCAACCTTCTCCAACCGCCTTGAAACGGCGTGCGCCCTTCATGCTTGCTCCCCCGCGGAAGACCGATTGGCCGAGCGAAAATACAGGTCTATGGTCTGCTGGCGGGAGTCTAGCGTCGCCGTGGCTGATCTCACTACTTCGCCTTGGCAGTGAGACCGATGACATCAACGGCCGATCCCGCGGTTCTGGTGTTGCGCTACTGCGGCCGCTACCACTTTACAACCACACACAACCACTTGGAATCAGGCAGCCGGACACTACTTACTTTTGTTCAGTGGTGACAGCGACGGACAGCCACTCGTATTGCCTAATTGGGATGGGACAGTCGATGCTGTGCCACAGCCGATGTCATTTGGTATCGCGCTGGTTTGGCACGATCTGAGGCGGTGATGTAGGATCACTAGGGCGGTGATCACCTATGTTGTCTCTAACCTGTGGCTTTCAGTACTTGGAATGACGTTCTAGAAGTCTAGTGCCACAAATCCTAATGATAAAGGCTGAGTGTATTCCTCCACTCTGGTCAACAGGCTGTTTATGAGAATATCACAACAATTTGTCAGCGATATCAACCGAAATTGCCATTTATAAAATCACAACTCATCGAACCCTCGATCAACATATTTTCACTCACATCCAAAAGAAAAACCATCAATATGCCCGCCATCCAAATCGAAGCTACAAACGTTGCTCGTGATGTTGCAAAGCTCGTCAGCCGTGTGACAACCTCAACCCGCATCGGCAGAACCAGAAGCGGCGTCAGAGTAATCGGAGGCGGCATCATCGCAGCCATCGTCGTCGGTGTAGTCATCTTCATCGCCGTAATAATCATCGGCATCTGTCTCTTCCGCCGCCACAAGAGCCAAAGTAAGAGGCGCCAACAAGAGATGGGCAAGTACTATGGCGGCAACGGACGCTCCAGCATCGGCACTGACGCCCCCGCGCCCGCCCCGGGCGACGGAAACAACAACACCAACACTGGATATGGTTTTACTCAAGGTTACGGTCAAGGACAGAACCAGGGCTACGGATACGCGCACATGGCTCAGCCGGGCCAGGCTGGGTATGTGGCGCCGAACAACGGTGGTGTAGCTCCCATGGCGCCTGCTTATACCGCCGACCATGTTACGCACACGAAATGAGTGGCAGGAAGGATGAAAGCCGAGAGTATGTTGAAATGGCAATAGGAAAGATGCTGCACATGCTACGATAATGTTTGTTTTGTATTTAAAGTGCGATACCCACGACCTTAATGACGATTAATATTACATTTCACACTGAATTTGTGGAATTTCCTGGTGACCATACATAGCTACGCTGTTGACAGCTTTAACAAGCTTTCAAGGTCTGTCCAGGATGGTTGAAGAGCTTGAGATGTTGATAAAATTGGAAAGATACGCGCAGTTCTAAGCTGTGATATTTACTCTTGAGACTAAAATCATTGACGAGAAGCCATGACGACTCTGCTTGCAAAAACAAAAAGGAGAATGATATAGGCACATGCTTATATGGAGTGCTCTTCTCGGTGGACTACAATTAACGCCATCCTAATGCTGCTGATAAAGATTCATCTTGCCATAAGCTTCAGGGCCTACGGACTATTCGCTGTGATTCTACCCGGCTACTCACAGGCATTTTGCCTTGAGACAATCCTAGCCTTGCTGGATGGCCACTTTTGCTGGTGCTACACTCTCTAGCGAAGTATCGACCTTTTCACTCATCGGGCGGGCTGTCTCTTTACCCTTCTCTCCTTCAGTCCATTCCTGGTACCCAAGCGACATCCACACCCAAATACCAATAGCGCTCGAGAGAACCACAAAAGTCAAGATGCCAGCTCCAGCACGGTCACCTGTAGTAAGAGGATCGAACTCCTTGAACGGATTTGAGTTCATCCCGGCGTTGGGATCGCCTTTTGACGTGCCGCCCGTTGTATTCGTAGCAGGAGGAGCCACTTCCAACAGGCTCTGGACTGCGGCCAGAACGTTCATCGCCTCGCCAGCACCAGTTGTCTCATCAACAGCCGGATCGACGAACACGCCTTTGTTCCAGTAGAATCCGCAGACGCGACCCGAGGCACCGCCCGTACACTGCTTGATGGCCGATAGGGTGGAGTTGCGCAAGACCGGGAGAATGAGATCACGGGTCGAGGGGACGAGTTGAGTTACGACCGTCATCCAGCGGTGGACATAGCCCTTGAAGCTCAGCATGTCTTGGGAGCAGCGGCCTGTCTCGAATTCGCAGGGGATTTCGTAAGCGGCACCGTCGGCGAAGAAGTCTTCGATGGCGCGGCTTGCGAGGGCTTCGGTGCGGTCGAACCACTTTTGCTCTCCCGTCTGCGAGGGTCAGCATCTTGTGTGATAGGGGGTCACGGAGGCGGCTTACATGATTCGCTAGGAAGGCACAGCCTTGCATCAAAACGGCGATATTGTACGAAAAAGTTGCCTTGAAGACGTTGGTGCAGTTTTTCGGCACATGGGCACCGTCGTAGACTCGCCAGTTCTCGTGGTCGATGTATTTCACCGCCCACAGCCAGTCCCATGTCTCTTCAGCGTAGCGGACATACGTATCGTTGCCGGTGTAGCGAGCGAGTCGAGCACCAATATTAAAGAAGCACCCGTTCGAGATTGTGTTTTTGTAGTCGTATCCCGTGTTAGTCGGTGGAACCTGCCAACGCATACCGCCGCCGCATGTCTCGTCATGTCTATCCGGGTTTGCTTGGGTCGTCCATACGGCTTGTGCGAGCGCCAGCCACTGCGGCTTATCCTCTGGTGGGTCGGGAAACTTGTTCTCGGCCGCGAGCATCGCCGTCATGCCCCAAAACCCTTGGTCATCGTTGCCGAGAGAGGCGGTGTGGTTCCGTGGCATATAATCGCGGCCTTCTCCGACTTGGTGGAGCATTCCCTCGGTGACGACGTGATTGTAACTCTCGTCGCCCGTGTAGTACCAGTAGTCGACATATGTTCCCATCATGGCGCCGCCCTGCCACCAATAGTAATCGCCTTCGTTCGCATCCGGTGGTCCTGGCAAGATCCCGGGAATTTCCCCTGTCTTGTTTCCTTCGTAAAATTTCATGAGATCGTATGCGAGTGTGCTGGCCGTCGTGAGGATATCATCTATGTAGTGGGGTTTGGTTAGAGTCTCTAGATTTACATGTGTTGTGGTGCGTTTTGGGTGTACTCGTCCGTACCTCGAGTATCTATTGAATAGGCCGCATCGGCAGCCCTGGAGAATGCCAATAGCGCCAGTGGCACTGCGCTTGGATAATGAGACGACAGCATTTTGAGCCAGTGATTAAGCTGGTGTAAGCCCTACTTTGGACTTTGATGGTATAATAGTAAAACGAGCGACTACTTGAGCGATAGATGTGCGGTCAGTTGTTCATGGCGGTACAAGTGACGCTGAGGACGACGAGGCACAAATTTCAACACTTGCGGACCAACGGCCGGGGCGCAAGATCGAACAGATGCACAGGAAAGTGTTTTTTTATTGCAACCGCCGGTTTGGTTGGGGTTGAAAAAGGCGCAATACCTGGAGGACTCGCTCAACGGGGGCCAGCTGATCTTTTACCGCCACTGGGGTTCGAGGGTCGGGCGTGATGAATGTTCAACTTAGTCTGCTTTGGGAGCGGGCGGCAGTAAGCTGCTGCGCGTGGACGAGAACAACCTCGAGAATCAACAAGAAGGGAATCAACAAAGTTGGAATTATCTAGGGAGAAGCTCAGAGGAACGATAGCTCAGAGGTACGACCGGAAGATGCGGAAAGCAGCTAGAGTAAGTTATTCTGGGAGAAAATCCGGGGAAGAGTATGACAGCAGCTTCCATGCTTCTGCTGTTCTCCTTTCGTGCATCTTGGCGCAGATGTGGACTCCTCACGAGCATGCTCTTAGGATTCCCGCTGATTCATGGCCCTGATGGACAGCCTTGGCGACATGGGACCAAGTTCCAACGAGAGAACAAGAGGACACCGGGTTTTCATCCGTCAGGGTGCACACAAGGAGAAGACTAAACCTTGGTACCGGGCCAGCCCAGGCCAGGAGGTATGCTTCCAAGAAGGACAATGACGCGGTGTAAAAGCCAGAAGACCAACACACCAAGAGGCTACCAACTTACCAAGAGGCACCAAGAGGCACAGCTCGCCTGGGCATTGGGGCGGTGCAAGGGCCTACCCATCCTGCCATCCAATCTCGAGTCGTCCCTTTGCCTGGAGGATTGTGCGTCGCCAAGACAAATACGAAAGTAAACGACGGGAATGCGCCTAGGGGGGTTATTGGGCGGCCTGGGCAAAACATCTATATTCTATTGGACTCCGGAGTCTGGCGAGCCTGGGCTTGATCCGCAAACCTGTGAGATCATCCACCGGACTCTCGGGCCAGGGGGTCTTGGGGTCTCTTGGGAGCTCCGCCAGCACACGCCACGGTGACACACCATGCTTCTTTGCCGTCACTTCTTATTCAGGTGGCCCCAAATCTCACCGGCCCCTTACGTTTCGTGATGCCTGGATATGTAAGAGTTGGGTTGGCGGAGGCGTAAATTGAGGTCAACATTAACTATGAGACGGCGTCGAATAGCCAGCCACAGTGTCTAGAGTCTGAGGCATCCTGGGGCCATTGGGGGCCACCGCGGGGCCACCGTAACCACAGCTCACTCAGCTCTGCAACGGCGGGGATCATGGATTGGCTAGCTCGGTTCCGTAAACCGAGCTGAAAGTCCCTCGTAAGGCCTTGATCTGGTTTAGCGTGACGTGTTTCCCCTTGCTCCAACGGATGTTTGCGACATTCACCGAATAATACACGGTACACCAGGGCGGGTGGGGGAGAGACATCATGAAGCAGTAGCTTTCTTTCGTCTGGGGCTCATCTTATCAAACGAAGAATGAAGGTCTCGGCACTCATTTCAGCGCGTTACTTGAAATGAAGGACAGCAACACAGCCGCGTTTTATCCACTGCCCAAATGATTGACAGCAGCGATAAAACATAACGGCAGATCCGTGCTTCGTGAGAAATGCCACCTTGGCTTAGCCATAAGTATTCGACCCTGATGAGACTGACTAAACCGTCTGCTCCCTTTCACTCTTAGGGTGTATAAAACAAATCATGGAAGCGAAGTACATTCATCGCAATTGTCTAAACGGTAGGTCTGAGGATGCGCTCCAAAGTTCTCACGTTGCCATCAGCTAAGGCACAACAGTATGTGAGGATTCATCAAGACCTTTGGCTTAACCACAATTACTCAGCATTCATCTCTGAACTATGCTCTTGAATTGTATTGCTTGTAGAATCAAGGATCAAACCCTCTGTGACTCGCAAAGTTATCCAGGAGTTTTAGACACTCGGCTTGTGTGACGTAAAATTGCTGTAGGTATTAGTATGCAATCACGACCTCAGGCTTGATCAAACCTTCATGAGTCGCGACTAACGAGCAAATCATCTTTTTGCTCATTGTTTACATGTAAGTAAACTACAGCGGAGCACAGGATGATGCATGTGCGATGAAGCTTATGTTAAACAACCTCGGCTTTCCCACTTCGTCTGGCGTTTCAAAAATGCATGTCCATCGCAACATGCACGGCCCGATGAAACAAAGTTCGGACAATGGATGAGAACAAAACCAAAGCAGCACCCTGGCTTTCGAAGATCAGCCGTAGATCAGGGTCCTTAATCTTCCACTCATCATCATGGATCCTGTAACCATCGTTACTGCTGCAGCTTCTTTGGCAGGCGCTGTCCTGAAAGCCTCCTGGAAAGTGAAGGAGACCATTGACGCATACGACGACGCACCACAGAACGTCGCAGACATTGCTGAGGAGGTGCATGCGGTACAGATAGCGCTCCGACAGGTTGAGAGCGTCGTGCTCCAGGATCCTGAAGCCATTGACCGGCTGGGATTGGAGGATGTCTTTACCGTGGCCGTCAACGGGTGTCATGCAACGCTTCTATCCATCAGTAAAGAGTATGAGGACCTGTTCCTCCGAACTGACTGGAAGACGAAGATCAAAGTTCTATGGAAAGATGGAGAAATGACTCGACTGCTTGGGCGATTAGACCGCAAGAAGGCTACGTTGACGCTCTTGACACAGACTTTAAATCTGTAAGTCGCTATGCAGACATTGCACCGTAGTCTACGCCTGCTAACGTTGCTACAGTCGATCCACTCAGGACATCAAGACGTTGTTGATTCAAAATCAGTCGACTTTGAATGCCGAAAAACAAGACGTCCGAGAGCCTGCGGCATACTATCCAGAGGTCCCCAACTTCCGGCCAGCGAGTCCCGACTCCTTGGATGAAGGCAGTGTGGTCAATGTTTCGAGGAACAGAGATTCTGTGATTAGCACCACGGAGTTTGACTTTGACTACGACCTGATCAACACCAAGACGTACCGACGAGCTCTACAAAGATATGCCTCTGTTAGCGCGCGCAGCAACTCTTCAGTGGAACAAAAGACGGACGAATCGCCAGTTACGACACCAGACCTGGAACCAGTTATGGAGGAGGAAGTAGAAGTAGAGGATCTCATCAACTTTTCCTCTGAAAACTTTAGTTTCCAAACGCCATTGAGCCGAGCAACTACACTGCGACCAGAGTTAGAAGGCATCGAATTTGATACCCCGCCTGCGGCGCCGCCCAAGGACGTAGCTCAAAACAAGGCTCTGGCGTCCTCAAAGCACCTGGAAGCCGTTGGCTCGAAGAAAGAAGGGGGTTCCGAGCCAGCCGATCCTTCGGATGAATCAAAGACAAAGAGGTCATCATCCCGAAGGAAGCTAGACCGGCGTCCACCAAGGCACCTTGCAGCAGCAGAAGCAGCGGCAGATAAGTTTCACAGAAGAAAGAGGCATGGAAAACCCGGCGCTTCGGCAGATCAAGAACACGAGGTATCATCCACCACAAGCACCGGGACGCTCAGCAGAAGCGTCAGCTTTGATGAATCGGTTGCGGATACCATGTCTCAATCTTCTGAAAAGACAGATAAGCTGAGAAGTCGGCGCAAGTGTGGACATCCTGTGCATCATAGAAGACGGCCTGGTAAGGAAGGTTCGTTCTCATCCCGCGGATCAGATAAGTCAACTACAACATTAGGCTCTGTAAATACTTTGACAGACACTCTAGAACAGTTCAGTCTGTCGGGGCCAAAGGTGTTTGGAAAAGAAAGGGGGAGGCGAAGACAAGTCGCGTGAGACGTTATAGACTGGAGTTGGTAAAAGCTTATTCGCGACAGAGGAAATAGGAACGATGTAAGACAATGCTTCTAGAACATAAATTTTCCATATAAAGTTGTCCAGTTTCCACATGGGAAGACATCATGCCCTTGAGTGCTGAGCTTGATACTGGTAGCGTTCAAGCGGGGCGGAACTGCTACTACCTTGAACTAAGGGATGTGAATCAAATCATCGCTACACTCATCAGATGTGGTTCCAGAATGTGAGTAGCGGCATTGTGTGATGAGAACTGAAGATGTGTGCTCTAGCTAGGAACTCATCCACGACGCTAGCTATAATGAAATGATTTGGGGCACAATTCTCTTAAATCAATGGCTGAAGATTTCTCAACCTTTGGTAGATACCTATGGAGGACAAGTAGATTGTAGATGGTAGCTTTGAAGCAAAGTGAATAATAAATATACATTATTTCATAGTTTCTGGAAATCCATCTGCCAAAAGAGATGGCACAGCGGAGCCAGCTTGTTGTGATGGGGGCTGTACTGGGGTCATGTCTTCGTCAGCTCGACGATTGGACAAAACTTCTGGAGCCGGACGGCGGCTGCCGACAACCGGAGCCTGCTGCCTAAAGCTATCAGCTTCCCTCAAACCAGAACGAATCTTAGCTGTGCGATAATTAGATGGGACCAAAGGCGACCGAGAAGACTTAGATCAGCACGAAGAGGCCGGCGAGCTCATTATTGGAGGACGATGGACCGACGATACTTCAGGTCGAGGAAGCGAGGTCCAGTCACCAAGGCTGCGTCCAGTGGGCGGAATCGATCACAGTCACCACCAAGATCGACCCGCCACTTCACGAACTTGAAGCCACTTACCTACGAACCGCTGAGAACGTCGCGCTCGATCAGAGTTGTCCAGATTCTCAAGTTTAACAAGGACAATCTCGAGATCTTTGCTACGCTGCACCAAGTAACACTCTGCGACACTGAGAAGGAGACCACGAAGTATGTCGCTTTATCATACACATGGGGACACCCAGTCATGTCCACAGAGCAATGGGGACCCTACAGTGCTATGCCTGAGAAAACAGTCGCCAAAGCGAAACTCATCTTGGTCAGTCCCGGAGACTATCGTCGCATGGTCAGCGACGACAATGCTATCAGCGACTGTAGCTGGGTCGATCCATCGCAGCTTTCCGAGTATGAGATGACTGAGAACCTATCCGACTTTCTCATGAGCTTGACGAGTCGCTCTGAAGAACGCGGCGTACACATACCTCTTATCTGGATTGACGCCATATGCATAGACCAGACGAACCCTCAAGAAAAGGCTGTCCAGATCCCACTTATGGGTGAGATCTATGCAAAGTCCTCGGCGGTGTACATCTGGCTAGGGAAACACGACCGAGACCTCGAAGGTCTGTTATGGATATACAGAACCTTGCTGCCGGCAATCAAAGAGCGCCAGAAAAAGTCCTCCTCATACCAGGCATTCTTTCAATGGCTTCATACTTATGGCCCGGGCGATGAACGATTGCTGGATGATCTTGGGCTCAAACTCGAGAAAGGCTCGCTGAAGGACCATTGGATCACATATATCATGTTCTTCGCAACAAGGTCGTGGTTCTTCAGAGCTTGGACCCTGCAGGAGGCTGTCGTTGCCAGCAACCCCGTCTTCGTTGTTGGAAACGACTTCCATGTCTTGAGCTGGGCCGATACCTGGGATTTGAGAAGAATAGTCCAGGCTTGGAGCAACGGTCTATCAGAGCTCACGATGTACAACGACAAGCTGGCTCCGGAGTTGAGAGGCATCCGTCTCATTCGAGGCTGGACCGAGATATTTCCCCTTCGAAGTACCTTCTCGAGCTGCCTACGAGCTGGCAACAGGGAGGGGTGGGTTCAAACATGGTCATTATTGCTCTTTATTGCCACGGCAAAGGACTGCACTGTGACGGTAGACAGGGTGTACTCGACCTTTGGCATGGCCAAGATGATTTGCCCGGCAGAAGTCAGCGGATTCCCAGATGTTGAATTTTCACGGTCTGCCGCCGAGATCTTTACAGAAGTCGCCGGCTTCTTGATTTGCAATAGCGGCGGTGTGAGTCTGCTCTCGCTCGTCACAGATCGGGCGTTTATCAAAACAGCTGGTATGCCTTCTTGGGTGCCAGACTTTGCCATCAAAGGAGATCAAGGACACTTACTTTCTTCCGTAACAAAGTTCAGAGCCTCTGCTGGCATTCCTACAGAGCCTCTGCCGCGTCACAACGGTCACTGCATTACTTTCAGAGGGAAGAGAGCCGGCAGAATTGTTTTCATTCCGCGTAATGATGGCAATTTTAGCCCCTTTTCATTGCAAGTTGCTCTTTGCATTCCTCATCTGCCAGAAAAGTATCCGGCAGGTACCGCTAATACCGCTGAAGCTCTGTGGCGGACTTTGATATATGACTTTGGCGAAACTCCCACGACATCTACCGGAGTGGCCGCCGAAGCAGGAGCCGATCCGAGACACGCACAAGGCTTCAAGCAGTGGTTAACGATTGACTTGACCACGTGTCTCAACAGAGACGGACATGGCTTGGAACGACACGAGAGCCGCGAGTTTGGTTCCATCCTTTCGTCCAAGTTTCAAAAAGCCCATAGCGAGCTCATTCCATCCCTGAACGAGATCTATCAGATCGTTCACTACGTATTGGCACATCCACACGTAGGACATCCATCGCAGCTTCAAGGGCCACTCGGCAGGGCGTACCATACCTTGATGACGCCTATTGTTATGAACAGACGACTGTTTATTACTGATGAAGGGTACATAGGATTGGGAAAGCTATCGTCTCGCGTAGGTGATGAAGTTTGGGTCCTTGCTGGTGGTAGGGTTCCATACGTCATGAGACCAATAGAGGATGGTAAGAGGTTCTCGCTGGTCGGGGATGCTTATGTACACGGTTTGATGGATGGGAGTTGGTCGATCTCGAGTGACGCAACTATTGAAGATGTTCAAGTGGTGTGAAGTCAGGTCGTCAGCCGTGTTGAATTTGATTAGAAGCACTGGATGGTTTGCCCAAAAGGCCTTACCCTCACTGACGGCATGAGTCGATGATCAGTTGCGAAAGCTTCTAAAACTTAGCTTCGAGCCTTTGAGCATTGTCAGTACTAGGAACTACATGTAAATATGGCTAAAATGATGGATGCGCCATGTCTCTCATCTGTCGGGTAGCCTAGGCTATAAGATTGGCCAACTGTCTGAAGTTATGAGCCACCTCGTTATCACCGGGTGGTGTGAGATCTTGTTGAGCTAATTGTTGCCACATTATTTCTGAACATGTTTGGCAGAAGTCTTCACAAACCCGTGAAAATACGAACCAAGGAGCGGATTCAAAGTCGCTCAACGGCGATCGCGTTATCCTATTGCGCGACAATTGGTTAGGTGGAATTATGATAAGCTGCTTGCTTTCTTGCTTGCTTGCAGTTATGACTCCAATTGGGTTCCAGATAGCTAGGCCGAAGGTCGCCATGTGGCGCTGGGCGCCGGACCTACACACCTGTAAGGCTATCGAACGAGTCACACGCAAGGGAGTTATAGAACCTCATTGCTTCAAAGGGTTAATGATTACCGAGATCTGATGAGCAGGACCGAAGAGTTCGCCCAAACAGGCTTCGTGAAAAGGCCTCGGATCGGGCGCGTGTGCGCCGTTTTAGAGCCTTGGCACTCTGCAAAAATCCCCTGGCCCCAGCCGATTTCAAAGGTTCCAGGCGCGTTCGAGGGCACGGTTGGATAGTGGACGGGTGGCGGGGAGGCAACGCGCGGAACCCGCCCGGCGGCTCAATCGCGCATCTTTGGGCGTCGATAGAGTGTAGACTGACATGACAGGCTTGGGATTTTGCCAGGTGATTGTTAATCAGGCAAGACTAGACTCTAAATGGGTTCGGCGAGCTGTCAA